TACCTGGTGGGAAAATTTAGCAATTTCAGAGAAACCAGCATCTGCCTCCCTGCATTGCCTGGGTTACAAATTCTTGGACTAGCACAGTCAGGAAGAGTTTAGATTAGGGCCAGCTCCTGGGGGCTGTACCCATTCAGTCCACAGCGAGAGGCAGTGTGCCCTTGGTCTCTGACTTGTGGATGGGTAGGGCAGGACATTGGCTCTGCATTTCAGTCTATTTGGCATTGGCACGCCACTCTTCAACATCATTCCTCTCACACGCACACACACGCACCCGCCCACAAATAGGTTACTTTCAAGCCCACACGCATGATCTGTGCATTTTCTCGTCCTGCTCCCTCCATAACGCCAACCCCCATGTTTGCTGCTTCTAACTCCAACTTCTCACCATTCTCTGGAAATGAAGAAAAATCTCATTTCAACAAAAGGTATAAAACTCTTGCTATGTTGGGTACTATGTTTGATGTTGAAAATCTTAGAAATTTTATTTCCTTTCAGTCACTGGTCATATGAGGTCCAAGAGGACAGAAGTTTCAGTGCTGCAGGGGGGATCAGCTAGATACTCAGAGGGGTCCTCAAAAGGTGGCAGTATGAAGGGGTCTAATGTCTGACCTCTACTTTATCATTTTTAGCAAATGAATTTTATGATTTAGAAGAATCGACTTACACTAATCAAGCACACAGTAAGCTGATGTATATCTAGAATATCAGTTTACTAAATATGTCACAATACTTCCAGGATTAAACCTACCCCTAGCCCTTGGGGGCTGTATAACGCCATGCTCGGTACCAATCTCTTTAAAAAAAAAAAAAGATTTATTTATTTATGCATACAAGAATTGGGGTACAGGCCGGAAGTGTGTGGGGTGGTGGTGAGAGGATTCACCAGACAGACCGGGGAGCAGAACAGGCAGATCATCTGAAACACACTGCTGAGGGGAGCAGTGGGTGGGACAGGAGAGGTCTGCTGTGCCATGTGGTCAGCTCCCCAGTTGGGAATTAAACTCGTGCTGTGGTCTCTGCAGAGAGCTTCACAGTGCCGTGCTTTAACCCCTTGCACCACCAGAGAGAGCCCTCTGTGCTGATCTCTTTAACCAAAGTTCCCTTACAATTGAACACACACATCACTACTGTTTGTGCTTGGAAGTTTCAGACGGTGCTTCAGCACTACTGTAGACAATTAAAAAATGTAAATCACCAACAAAAAGCGCTAAGCCATGACAGACATGACCCCGAGCTGACCATGAAAAGGACACTCAGCCACAGTACGGAGCTGAAGGGAGCAGAGTGCCTCGTCCTTTAGGCTAAGCTAACAACCTGCTTGAGGGTGACCCTATTTCTCAACTCTGTGCCTTTGTGTTGAGCACCATTAGCGTCGATTTTGAAGTTGCATTTTAACAAACATGTGACCCTAGAAATGTGGAATCTGCAACGAATGACGTTTCATTGCTTATAGAACTGGGAACTTGGCCTCTCTCATACCAGTAGTGTCCGCCCCTCTGACCTGCTGTGACAACCCAAAATGTCTCCAGACATTGTGAAGTAGCTCCCAGGGGAGAAACTCCCCCTGGTTAAGAGCTATTGTTCTAGAAGAAAATGAGTGGAGTGCAGCAGAGGTTTTTTGGTATGATCAGTGCTAGACTTCTCAGGAGAAGCAGCCTTTGAGCTCAGCCTTGCAGGACAAGAAAAAATTACATGGTAATCCTAGAGAAAAATTCTTAAGGTATAAAGAGAGGGGCTCACACTCTGCTCTGATGTTTTCTTGACCAAACCCAGATTTCCTACCAGTCCTGTTCCTGTCCTCAAAGGATTCTGGGGTCCCCTACAGAGGCCTACTCTTCCTCGCCTCAATGTCTCTGCTCATGTGATGTGCCCACATGTCAAATTCTACTTTTGCTGGTCGTTCTAAGTGTATTGTATACGGTCCTTGAAAAGGACTTGAGGCCCTCCCTGGCGGCCCAGCAGGTTAAAGTACAGCACTATGAGGCCATCACAGCCACTGCAGCATGAGTTCAATCCCCGACCAGGGAAGTGACCCACAGGGCGCAGCAGACCTCTCCTGACCCTCAGGTGTGTACTTTGTGGGTCTTTCTGTTCTGCTCCCTGCTCTGTCTCTGGTGAAGTCTGTCACTCCTTGCACCTCTGGCCTTTACCCCAGTTCTGTATGCATAAATAAATAAATCTTAAAAAAAAAAAAAAAAAAAAAAACACAAAATAGACCTCCCTCAAAAAAAAAAAAAAAAAAAAAAGAGGACTTGATTTCCAAAGTATATACCTCTAGAGATGGCTTCCGCATGGTCTTCCTCTTAAAGCCTCACTCTTCACTGTGTGCAGGCGGGAAATAGGCAACGCTGTGAGCTGTTAAGTCCAAGTACACTAGACCCGACACTGTGGAGCGTTTCAGGCATCACGTCAGATTATCATAAGGAGGATTATGCCAGTTTCTGCACATTTTTAGGTCTGAGAAGAGATCTGAGTCTTCCCCACCTGAGATGTGACTCATCTGGTGACATGCTAATTGAGGGGTGGAGTGGGAGGGAATTGGTAGGGTGCGGGAAGATGAAATTGATAATATCACCCTCCAAGTTGCTAAATTCCAGGGTAAAACAGGTGGGCGGTGTGGATCTCACAGCAGGGCAAATGAACCACATGGAGACGTCAGTGAGTTTGGTCATTTATTGATGCCCCACAATGCCAGGTTATGGTTAAGTTTGGTTTTATACACTGAGGTATACTCCAGTGTATTTCCTTCTGAAATACTCCAGGAGGAGGCCGGACCTGGCAAAATAGGACAGAGATGCAGGAAGGGGGATGGGTTGAGCCATGCACATCACACAGCCACTTTGGAAGACACAGGGAGAACTGTGCTTCCCCAACCATGTTTTGTAAATGACACAACTTAGTAATAATACTAACAATACTAGAACTAGCAATACAAAAACAAGAGTAACATCAGCTATATTGGCTAAATGGCAGCACCAGGCAGTTCCCGTCACATGGTCTCGCTCTTAAAAATGAAAAGACAAGCCCTGAGCACCAGAAACACTGTTCCAGGGCTTCATCTTAAAGTCGGAAGGGAGAAAAGTTGGCACCTGTAATATCTGGAGTGAAAATGCTTCATCTTAAAGTCAGAAGGGAGAAATGTTGGCACCTGTAATCGCTGGGGTGAAAATGCTTCATCTTAAAGTCGGAAGGGAGAAAAGTTGGCACCTGTAATCTCTGGGGTGAAAATGCGTAGCCTTCAGAGTTTGGAGGGTTTTACTCAACTGAACAGAAAATGATGATCTGAAACAAACCCCTCCAATTTGACTTCAGGAACCTGCTGGAGGTTATCAGAAGCATTCACTAAATACCTAGTGGGCTGCAACTGGAGGTTGGGTGGCTCAGAGCGTGGGTTGAGATGTGACGTTTCTTAAGAAAACCCATCATAAAACTAGTCAATCCTCAGGGGCAATTCTTTGTATTCAAACATGATTCCCTATTTTAGGAAAATATATGATTTAGCTTTTCAACTATTGTTTTCTTATGGCCTACTGAATTATGATTCCATGTTTAAGGACTAACAGCTGTTCAGAGAAGAGCTAACTCTACCCCTGCGAATGACAATGTAAACCAAGCTGGTTTGGAGAACCTCGTATTTAAGCACCAGGCCTGTGGCAGCCTTCCCTGGTTCGTGATAGGTGTGAATCCAGTGTGTCTTGCTACATTTCTCCGTTGTTGGCTCAAGGTGGAAAAAAAAGTTGAATATGTATAAAACAAATGAACAAAGCTGCATCTTGCTGCCCCCTGAATGTTGAGATGTTGAAGGCACCACCTGACTCCTGTCACCAGAGTCCCCAATTAGTCTTAGGCCCCTGGTGATGCAAAGCTGAGTGATTGTCATGGGAAAAACCAATGGGTCACATGACCCCAGACTCAAGTGCTCTCTCAATCTGGAGGGTCAGCAGCCAAATGCCACACTGTCACCTCATGACACAGCCTCAGTACAGGAAGTAAAAGTCCAGAGCACACAATTAGGGGCCAGTATTGTACATTTGAGAAAGGCCTAGAATTCTGCACCTTGCCAGACTTTCCTCACCTGTTCACCATCTTCCCCACCAAACGTATCACACATGATACGCTTTATGTATTCAAAGTCTGGTCTACTTCAGTTGTTGAGGTCAGTAGGAATCGCCTTATTCCTGAGTTTTGCTGGTCATGTCCAGGTCTCTGATGGTAAGTCTGACTCTAGACAGTACAGTACCAGGTTAAGTCAAGTTCAGCTGAGCTCACCCAATCCCACCAAGTCTATACTACCCTCCAAGAGAGTCTTTGTGAATTACCTCATTAGAAAAAATTAGGTTCTCCTCCCATTATGTCACTAACAATTTAAATATCATCTCTCTACAAGTGTTATTTCACCAGAGTGTGTCATCGGCCAGCAATGTTTATATTTAAAGCAGAGAATGCAGAAATGTAATTGTTATCTAGAAATAAATTCCCTGGCTTTAGGTAAACATTTCTACTTCCCTCCTGTTCCCAGTCTAGCTCAAATTTTATCCCACCCTGTGTATCCCCCCCTAGGAATTGACAAAATACACATAGGTGGCTTAAAGTAAAAAGCACATAATATAAAAATGTTAAGCGTCTGATACCATGCAATACAAGGGGCATTGGCCAGCAACACCATGACACGTTTAACAGAAGACGGAGACGGGCTTGCTCACCTGCACACCTGCTCACCTGCCTGTGTGTTTGTATTAGTTCTGCCACCATCTGGACATGAGCACCGTTTTCAGTAGCACCATTCTGCTGAACGGATTGATAATTCAAGGGCGATGTAGGACACTGTGTCCCACATGCATATTAACTGCACCTGTGTGAGTCTGAACACATGCTGCCTATGTCCTGGAGGCCACAGCTCCACCTTTCCCTGTGAGGGATGGTCCTGAGGACTTCTTCCCCTTGAGGTCCTGCTTGCCCACCCTCCCACCCTCATTTCAGCTCTTGGAAGTGCCTCCTCTCAGAAATCACTGGTCTGACTGTGGTCTCCATGACTCCTGACGGATAGTGGCAACACCCAGGATTAGCATTCTAACTTCCATTTCAGCTTTTTTGGACCCCTGTGACTGAACAACCCCTCCTCCCCAAGGAAACAGACCCTCAAAAGTAACTACTGGGTGCACTGGGGAGTAGGCCATCTTGACCTCATTTTGGTAAGTTCTAGACTCAAGATTAGAAGTCTATACTAAGTTTTTGTGTTTAATAAATGTACCTGGTTATTTGAAGTATTTTAATCTAGAGCTCCATTTTCCAGCCTGGGGGAGGTAAAGGCCATTGGCAGGTCAGAAACTGGCTCTAGAGTTGGATATAAATCCCCAACAGGAAACTGATGGTCCAATCTGAGTTGATAACTTAGGCAGGGAATATTCTGGAGAGGGAAAATGAGACAGGAAGATGATTTTGCTCTTCTGCCAAGGAATGGGCATCTGTCTGGGAAGCGGGAAGAATGAGAGCCTACAGTCCCTTTCTTAATCAGCAAGGAGCTGATTTCTGTTCATCTGCTTAAGAGATTTCATAGAAATTATCAAGACATCACGGACTGTCTTCTGTATCACTAACCCAAATCTCATTGGTCTATTCAATCTGGTAACATCAGCCTTGCTCCTTTTAGCCAGCTGTCTCTAGGCAGACACAGAAGTTTAAACAGCCCAGATGTGGATTTGGGGTAGATTGAGGGGCTTAGCTGGCACATTCTCTCCCTGCCCCAACTGAATTTTGGGTGAGAAAACATCCTCTCTCTGGATGAGCTAGAGAAAGAATCCTCAAAGCTCTCCATGACATTTTAAACATCTTCCCTGGCCCCAACCAGGGAAGAAAAAAAGGACGATTTCTCTGCAGAAAAGAAACAAAATGACCTACCCCCTGAATACGTGTGTCTGTTTCCCGATACTCCTGAGATAGCCTGGGGAAAACTTGGTCTGTTTTTGTCTTTAAGGGTTGGGGACCGTCATCATGTCACACACTCGCCTACTTTGGCACCTTTCCCAGAAGCAGATCCCAGGAGATTCCCAATTCTTCTGGAGTGTTCCCCTTCCTTGCAGGAAACAGTGAGTATTAAGTCCCAGGACTCCTATGAGTGACAATTTGGATTTTGGGTAAAGGAACACAATGGATTTTGGTTTGTTATGACCCAAAGTTGGACCTGAAAACCTCGATGTCATGTAACTTTGATGAAGTGGTTCCTGAAACTAGAACATAGCCTGGTCAGCAGGCAGCTGCAGTCTCTGGTGGGAGGCGGCGGGGGGGGGGGCGTCTAGTCTCAAAGTGTTTTGGGGTTCTTGAGCAATGGCAGTTTTCTCAGCCGTTGTGTATGGACGTCTGTCTGGGAACACGAGAAGCAGCACTGAGCTCTCACGGTGGGGACAGAACATTTCTTCATGGTTTTTAGTGTCTGACAGAAACCAACTGACAAGTTGTCCTTGGTGCAGAGTAAATCTATGGGAAGGGAAAAGAATAAGAAAAAACCCAAACATTATTCATTGTAAGTGAATGAATGCAATTCCTATTCATGGAAGACTTGATGTCTACCAAGAAAGGCTCTATAAAAATCCACAGAGCATTGACAATTCTGCTCATTTACTATGTACAAGGCGCTGGGCAAAGTGTCCATGTTAACCTGCACTATCCTTGGTTCTTCACTCCCACGTAGCAGCGTTCCATAGGCCCAATCTACCAGGGCAGCTGAGCAGAGCCGAGCCGAGCCGAGCCGAGCCAGTGAGCGCTTCCTTACTCCTTGACTTGGGCTCAGCTCCAAGACCTGTTTGCATAACGGAATGGTAACAGGAGGCCACAGAGCTGTGGGCCATGCAGGAGGCTGAGCCTCTGTAGTCACATGAGGAGAATCTGGCTTGTGCAGCCACGAATGGAGAAGGATGAGACATGGGGGAAGATCTATACCTAACCTACAGTTCGCAGCCCAAGCCAAGCCAGACAAAGCCAGAGAAGAGCCACTGAACCTTCACTGACTTGTGAAGACTGAAGAAAGACACACAGTTGTAGTTTCAAACCTTGCATTTAGAGGTGTTTGGCTATACTGTCACGCAGCCATATTGACAGAAGGCCGAGTTTCTCACGTGTTGTTTCATTGAAGCTTCCGAGCAAGATGATAGGAAAATATAACTACCGTTCCTAGTTTAGGTATGAGGAATCAAGGTCCAAAGATCCAGAAGTTACACAGTGTTATCCAGCTGGTAAGTGGCCTCCATAAATCTGAACACAAGCAGTTTCAGCCATAGACCTTATCTAGATTTCATCAGTAATGCTGTTCAGAGTGCGCCAGTCACCCACTGAGCCCACTAACTAACTTCCTGAGCACAGTTCTGGAGCTGTGTAGTTGTTAGCCTCCAGAAAGGTCCGAGGGTGAAGACATGAGACGTGCTAATAATTCCCTAGTTACTCCCCTAATAATTCTTCTAATAACAGGATGGTAAGTAGCATCCTATTAATTACTTGGGTTTGAATCCCTAACTCTGGGTGAGGGAGTCTCTTCACTTTTTGGCCCTGGGACCTCATACATGAAGCAGGGGGCACTCACCCACATCCTGTGGGTGGTATTTGGATGGCTCTGGCTCATGTCCTCATAGTCTGGAAGGAAATGAGTAAGGTCCAAGTAACAGATTTTCCTTCTATGAAATCAAATTGCTTTAAACTTTGCTTGAGGGTCTCTCAGAACTCTGGGTGCTTTTCCTTCTCCTTTACAGTACAGATTTGAACATTCTTGAAGAAAAGCTTTTTCACAAATAGATCACTGTCCTTGATAAATAGAACTGTCAGTTAAAATAGAAATTGAGGGTCCTCCCTGGTGGCGCAACAGGTTAAAGCACAGCACTGCAAGCTAGCTGCAGCACTTCAGTGCAAGTTCGATCCTGGGCCCTGTAGGTGACCCACATGGCACAGCAGGCCTCTCCTGACCTGCACACTGCTCCCCTCAGCAGTGTACTTCGTCAGTTGGCCTGCTGTTCCCCACTCTGTCTCTGTGAAGCCTCTCACTGCCCCTGCAACTCGGTCTGCACCCCAGTTCTGTATGCAGAAATAAATAAATATCAAAAAAATAGAACCTGAGGTGCCCCAAACCTGTGACAGTTCTTCTGCCTCTGTATGGTTTTCCCACCTTCCGGTGACAAAGGCAAAACATGCTTTTTGTCTCCTCGGAACTCATTATTGCCTTGTTTTTTGGTTACCTTTTGTGTGTATGTGTGAAGAAATAAATGTTTCCTGTTAGCTTTTAGAATTCTATTAGCTTTCAAGTTTTTAAGTTTTGGGAACAAATAATCTATAATGTTCCTAGAACTCCAAGGCTCTGCACAACTGATCCTTTGCTTCTTCAGGCCTCTACAGGTATTATAAAAATCAATCTCTCCTGAAATCCCACAGGAAATTTCCTTTACATTTTCTGACATTTTAGAAAGAGCACATGGTTCAGTCAAGTATTCCTAGTTTAGAACAGGAATTTCAGCTCTTCATCATCTGCAAGAGGCGGTCATCCTCCATGGGGCTGTGGCCACGCATCACATAGGCTGCTGTTTAGAACTAGGCCAGGATTCCTTCCTCCTTTGGCTTTGCAACAGGGCCCAGGAGAAGTTGGCATCACAGGGCTGCTCTGCTTTGCCAGCCAGCCTCTCTCCTGATGCCATTGTGAACAGGTGTTGGAGCAGATGCATCTTGGGTAGCTCTATGCCCCACGGCTACTTCAAGAGAGAAGCCAGAGGAAGTAGGAGAGTTCAGCTTTCAGCTCACTGCTCACCAAAGCTGCTTTTTGGCGCATTGACCACATGGGGTTTTTGTCTGAGTCTCCAAATTCACAGTATTATTGTATCACTTGCTCAACATGGCACCGTCTTGAACTGTTTGGAGCCTTTTTCTTTAAAAACTGAAGTGTGGGCCCTCCCTGGTGGCACAGCGGGTTAAAGCACTGCACTGAGAAACTAAAGCCACTTCCGCATGAGTTCGATCCCCGCCTGCCCCGGAGGTGACCACATGGCGTGGCAGACCTCTCCTGACCCGCCCACTGCTCCCCTCAGCAGTATACTTCATCGATCTGCCTGTTCTGCTCCCCACTCTGTCTCTGGTGAATCCTCTCACCCTCCGCATCTCTGGCCTGTACCCCAGTTCTGTATGAATAAATAAATAAATCTTAAAAAAAAAACAAAAAAAAACTGAAGTGTGGTCTCTGTCTTAAGGGCATGTGTTATTATAAAAATGACCCCACCGAGGTCCCCTGAGGTTTTTGACTAGGTTTTGGATTAAACTGTGTCCTCCAAATTTGAAGCCCTAACTACTGATACTACTGAATGTGACTTCATTTGGAAATACTTATTTTCAGATGTTTATGATATAAATTAAGATGATGTCATACTGGAGTCGTTTGGGCCTGAATCCAGCATCACTGTGTCCTCACAAGAAGAGAAGACACAGACATATGCACAGAAGAGAAAGTCATGTGAAGACACAAACATACAGGGCAAGATGGTGTGACATTGGAGGCAGAGATCAGAGTTATGTAGCTACAAACCAAGGGAGCCAGAGATCATGGCCACCACCAGAAGCAAAGACGGAGAGCATGACCCTTGATTTTGGACTTCTAGAGCCCAGGGCTGTGGGTGAATAGAATTCTTTGAAGCCACTAGATTGTGGTAGTTTATTATGGTAGCCTTAAGAAACTAACACAGTCCTCCCCAGGACAATTTGCTAAGCACCAACTACATACTAAGCAATGTGCCATGATCCTCATAGAAATTTATTTGTAAGTATATCTATTAGTCTTTTAAAAGAGGGTTCCAGAGATGCTCAGTAACTGGCCCAATACTGCACAGCTTCCATATTTAAGTGGCAATGCTGGATACTGCCTCAGTATATCTTAAGTTTGGTTATCCAAACAATGGATCTCTTATATTTGTTATGAGGGGTGAGGGACTACCTGAACAGGTCTTACTCCAACCAGAATATTTCAAATGCTCAACACATGGGCCCCACTGGGCAGATTAGGTTGGTACCTAAATGTCCGAATGTGATTCAACTACTAAGTTGAGTGTCCTTGCCTAATGGTGGAAATCCAGAGATTGTGAATACCACTTTTCAATGAGCGTCAGCACTCTGGAAACATATTGAGTTGTGGGGTCCTCCTGTTTGAGAATGAGGGAGCTGAAGGAAGAGTGGACAGTGGTAGCCCATGTGGAAGGCTGTTCCAGGTCTATGTTTAGCAGCTCATTTAGAAAATTATTATGAGCCCAACATTGTGGCATGACAATCTTTCTCCTTATTACTGTAAAACAATGAAGGCTATTGTGTTCATCAGCCAACTGGGTCCCAGCTGAAGCACACACAATGCCTATAATTAAGGGCAACTTCCAGAGGAGACCCCAATTTGCCTTTGCCTATTCAATAAAAACCATACTTAGAAATTTAAAGAGACCATCATAAGCTTATTTCCTTACTGTAGGCTGTGTCTTGCTCAAAGTTACACTATTTTGACCATGAAAGTTGAAAACTGTTTTCAATATGGTTGACAAATACAGTTTCTGGGACTTTTGGGCACTTGTGGCCAGAACTACATCTCACTCATCTCTACATCCTCAATTTTTAGCACTTGCAAGAGATACATTGTGTGATCATTAATGTTTGCTGAATAAATAAAATTCTGTGCATCTGGGAGAACATTTTTCAGTACAAAGTTCACTGACATAAATGTTTACTGGTATCAATTTTGCGTCTAGGTACTGTCTTAATTACTTTTCTTATCCTTTCCCTTGTCTTTTGTACCCCTTTCAAGCCCCCAAACAACCCTGGGATGGTGTGCCTCAGAGCTTAGTTTCTTAGGAGCAGCAGCAGGCAGGTCAGGAGAGTTCTGCCGCGCCATGTGGGTCACCTCCGAGGCTGGGGATCGAACTCATGTTGAAGTGGCTTTAGTTTCTTAGTGCTGTGCTTTAACTTGCTGTGCCACCAGGGAGGGCCTCCACCATTTATTTTTAATCATTACTTAATCCCTGGAGCACAGGTAATATTCATTATTTTTTCCTACATCTTTTTCTTGATGTTTCTTAACATCAAGTATCTTAACCCAGATACTTATTTTATAAACGCTACCAGAAATGATAGTGCGTACATTTACATCATTAAAAATTTGTACCTAAAGCACACAACGTGGCCTGGAAGAAAGTAAACTTTATATGAAGGGGTGTGTTTACTGAGCTGCTGTCTGCCTGACTGATAAGATCCCTTGGACAATGAGTGGACACGCGAAATCAGGACATTTTAGAGGCAACAGGATCAGGTGGCTGACTTCTTAAATTACGGAATGGGTTGCAGCTACTCTTCCTTTTTTAAAATTAAATTTTCAGTCATTAATAGGACCCCATGACTTTGGGGGTACATTTACACACCTCCATATGTGCACCTACTTCATTCGCCATCCTCCAGAACTCCCCTGCCAGCACCAGAGTCCCTTCCTCCAACCCTTCATCTCTGCCCCCCTTTCCCTCTAGTAACCAGCATATTTGCCACAGAATCCACAAATTATTTTTGCTGAGCCTTGCATTTGTTCTTTGATCATTTATATCCCACATATGAATCCACATGTGGAATCCGGCATCATGACTTCTTTAAACATGCTTAGTGAAATAAGCCAGGAAGGAAAAGAAAAATACTTATGGTTTCACTCATAGCAGGAGTGTAAGGGATGGGGGGGGGGGGGGAGGGGCGGGGGGAGAAGCAGTTGTAATATTGTAATAAATAAAAACAAAAAACAATGAAGAACTATATACCAGAGGCATTTTACGGGGTTGGAGAGGGGAAATGGGATTAAAAATGGGATGGGAAAGGTGCACGGGACTATGGTGATGGCACTCGGGCGAACTGGTCCAGGTGGGAAGTCCCTGGGGATTACAACCGAGATGGAAAAATGAACAAGATGAAGAATGATGTGAAAATAAATAAATTAGAAAATCTCTGCCCTCCTGAGCAACCCATTCACCCACATTCACCCACCGGCACTCCTCCTGCAGGCCTGCTGGCTGCATTTTCGCAATTCTGGAGGTCTGGGCTCATGGTCACACAGGCATCCGTCTTCGTCTTCGGTTTGATTGCCCTCGGAGGAGACACAACGGACAGTCCTCTTCTGCGAGCCACCTCCACAGGAAGCCGTGCACTGGACGAGAGGAGGACACGTGAGAGGTGCCATTCTCTCCCGGAAGGGGCAGATGAACACTCGCCAGCTGAACACCTCTGACTCGGCTGAGGTCAAGGGTTTCTGGTCCTTTTTGAAGGATTCATAGGATGAAGGCATGAATTCAGGGCGTCTGTATTAAAGACTGTGTGGCTTGAATGCCAGTTTGTTTATGGCTTATGTTGCACTGTGCAGCTCTCCTTTACGAGGGCATCAGGAACTAGGAACTAGGAGGCAGCAACAGTGAGATGTCAACAGTGACACGTTCACCTGTCATTCTAAATTTTGAGTCTCTGAATGGACCAAAATTGATGGCATTTTCACGATGGTTCACACTGTACCAAATTTTCTGTTCTGAAGGTCACATTAGAGACCTTACTATTGTTAACACAAACTTCCACTGTCAAAGCAGCCAACCCTCAAACATATTTTTTTTTTTTAGATTTATTTATTTGTGCATACAGAAATGGGGCACAGGCCTGAGGCTCAGGGGCAGTGAGAGGCTTCACCAGAGACAGAGTGGGGCGCAGAACAGGCAGATCCACGAAATACACTGCTGAGGGGAGCAGCGGGCGGGTCAGGAGAGGTCTGCCACGCCATGTGGTCACCTCTGGGGCAGGCGGGAATCGAACTCATGCGGAAGTGGCTTTAAATTCTCAGTGCTGTGCTTTAGCCCGCTGCGCCACCAGGGAGGGCCCCTCAAACATATTTTTAATTGTTAGGTACAATGTTTTCCATTTGTCAGAGCAAAGCTGGATGAAGAAATTGGGCCTTGGGATAACTTGGAATTTCTAATGAATGGGGAAAATGCTGATTTCCAAGGGAAATATAATAAAGTGGCCTAATGTACGTGATTAAATTATGTTCATATGAAAAAATGCCATGAGCCATGCCATTTCCTGTTGTTCACATGACCCATGGGGGCAGCGTGGAAGCTGGGGGGACAGCATAGCAGGTGGACATGACCAGAAGTTGCCCAGACACCACCAGAGTCGTCTTTGGCAATTCATCTTTAGTAAACATCAGAAGCCAGTGAAAAATGGGCCTTCATAGAAGCTACTATGGATCTATTTAAGGGCATGACTGATGTCATTCTTCTAAGAAGCATTTTTTTTTATTGTAAAAATAAAAGATGCAATTTTTATTTGTTGCGGGCAAAGTGATTAATGTACCATGTTCCTTTCTCATTCATGAATCATCTTGTTCTTCCTGGATAAAAGTGGGGCTGTGTCCAAAGCCCAATGAATGCATCAGCAGGAACCTTTTTAAAAAGAATGTGCCAGCATTCACGTTGATCATGACTATGCTGGTGCTACTATACAGCTACAAATAAGGAAAATTATCAACCTAAAAATACCTGGGGACTTTATGTTTCTACCCCTAACAAAACACTGCAATGGCCTCTGTTAGCATTCTGTCAAATATACTTATAATGAGCAAGTTCCTTTAAGAATATCAGTAGTTGGGGGTTAGCACATGCGGCCCTCTTGACCTCCCCGCCTCCTAGCTCTTGGTCTGAGGTGTTAACCAACTTCGGGAAGCGCATCCTTTGATATGCACCTCTTCTCCTGATTCTGGGCTTTCCTGTTGCCAATGAGGTGGGAGACAGGTAGAGGCCCATCATCCAAAAACCCACATGCCAATAATGCTGGACAAAGAAGGGGGTCATCTGAGGGGAGATCTTTCCCAGCTATTCTAGAACACAGCAGCCAGCAGCAACCCTCCTTTGTTTTTACCCCAAGAGACAGTAGTTCACAGCATTTGAAGACGTTGGACAGCAAGAATCAGCTGCTCCCGTGCCAAGCTGTGGTCAGTTAGGCTAAAATGACATTTTCTCTGTCTCGTTCCTGTTTCTAACACTCTTGCTCCCCTGACATAAGTAGTTCTTAATAAAGTATTAGAATTTGCCTCAAGACTACTTCCTAGAGAATCCAGAATAAGACATAAGAATGATGGCAGAATCTGTCTATAGGACAATTTTCTTAGTTTTCAGTGTCTCTAATTCAGTGATATTTACACAATACGTAAACCTTGTGAGAATACATCTTTCCCTCATGTACAATTGAATGCTTTGGTTTATCTTCCCATCAAACAGACTGGCTGTCTGGAAAGTTGATCTGTGCTTGATGAAATAGCCTAAACTGGCTAAGTCAGGCTAAGTCTCAAGCTTCAGGGCTCTAGAATCCTATTTGCTCTGGGAAAAGCCAGAGAATCCAAGGTATGGAGGCCCAAAATTGCCTTTCATTCGACTCTGTGCCTCTGGGATAATTTGGTTCTTTAGTTTGTTTTCTCTTTTGAAAATATTTGCTCTTTTTCTCTTCTAAACTCAAGACAGTAAACACTGAAAGCTGTAGCAGTGATGGCCCAACTTTGTACAAGCTAGAAGTGAGGTGAGTACCAAAGCCAAAACCATGTGGAAACATGTCACGAACGCTGGACATCATAAGTTATGGTGAACAATTACTCTACGTGACTTCTTTTGTAATAAAAAAAAAATTTTTTAGAGACAAAAGTCAATGAATCAACTCTTACCAGGCTCCAGTTACCAGTGGCCCAGCGACAGCAGGGCTGCCTGTTGCAGGGAATGATGGACGTGGGCCTTTGTGTCCAGTCACAGCGGCCTCCTGGACAAGCAACCCCTCTCTCCTGCACTCCGCTCCCACAGGACCTGGAACACTGACACACAATAGGGACAAGCTTAGGTGAAAGTCACATGGTGACCTTCCAAGCAATGAGAGCGTGTTATTATCAAGTTTGCTGTGTATAGAATATCAGTATCTGCAACATCTCTGCCATGTTCCCTCCAGTGACCAGTCATTTCAAACCTCGGTGGTAACATAAGAATTAAAGAGAAGAAAGGTTTGATAAAGGAAATTCTCAGGCTAAATGGCAGAGAAGAACAACAGAGGGCATCAAATAATTCAATGTCAAATGGAAGGAAATTTTTCGTTTGAAACCTAAGTGAGTCATCATTTCAGAATGGATGTCACATTTGCTGCGTTTTGCTTCTTGGCACAAGTATCTAGAAACCAAAATGTAAGATTTAGATGTTTTATTATGACTACCTCTGATGGTCCATAAGGGGACATTAAATTTGTCCCAATTTGAAAGAGGGAAATTGATAGGCTTGTTCAGAGTTCTGATGCAATGGCTGTTAACTCTCACAAAATAAATTTGAGATGACAACTTGGATCCCTGAAGATAACAATTCTAAAATGTGTCAGTTTTTGCTCACTAGAATAATTTATAAGACATATTATTTCATACAGGAATCAGTTTTCCAAGAGGAAATTAATTCACCAAGAATCTTTGAAAGGTACTTGAGTCCTATGAAAAGTACTTATTAAAATCTTAGTTATGGCATAATAACAACAACAGAACAATTATGGCTGCCGGCATCACATCCATCATGTTAGGCCCAGCGCGTGTGATGACCCCAGAGGAAACAGGGAAATGATGACCAGTTAACACTTTTTGCACAAAAAGAACAAAGCTATTGCTTTCACAATATTCCAAGTTCAAGAATTAACAAGATTGGTCCCTGCATCTATCCAATCTGTTTCATACCCTATACAAGGAGAGCAGTGAAATCCCCCCTGGGACCCCACCCACACCTCCACATGCACAGACTTGGGCCAGATGGCCAAGTCACTCCCAGGAAGTAGGGATAAGATATAAACCAATGGATACCAAAGTATAGTCTCGAGACAAGTAACTTCAGTATCTTTTTGGGAGTTGTTAGGTCTTACCCAGTCCTCTCAATCAAACACACTGGGAGTAGGGGTCCAGATCTGTGTGTTGACAAACGCTCCAGATGATTCTAAAGTGTGCTAAGTGGCACTCTGTGTAGCAATGTTCCCACAGCTGAAATGCATCTCCTATGTAGGTGGTTTGAGCTTGCTGATACTCACTGGAGGGCGTAGAACACCCCATAATGTCAGATTACTTGACAGTATTTGCAGACAGAAAAGCCTCATGATGGGTCCAGGAAAGCACTGAAAGGTGCTTTAGTCCATCAAGAGCCCCAGGAAGATACTCAGATGACTTCTTTATTTTTCATCTCCTCTGTTCCCTTAAGGGGACATCTTTCTTTATTTGTAATTTGCTCAGAACAGAGCAATTTAGAAAGGAGGTTGTGGGAGGTCTTTGGGGAGCAGGTCCATGATTGGGGCTCTCCCAAGGTACTGAGGAAGCATAAAGAATATTTTCTTTCATAAGCCAAAAGCAGATCTGATTGTTCATCTTTACAGTTGGCAATGCCATGTCTCTGACAATGCAATCGTAGCTCCTTTGCAAATACCAGGATACTGGAAGCTGTAACTAGTCTCAACGCATGTGAGAACTTATAAGCCTGAGACTGAGCATGTTATTAGCAGATCCTTGCTGGACAGGGTCAGTGCTGGCAGTTGCCCCAGGCCACACCAGGTGTCACCCCAGTGCTCAGGAGCCAGCAGGCTGCTCGCCAGGAGGTTTAGACAGCTCTCAGCACTCTAGCTCTTCCTTAAGCATGGATGCTAACTCTGCATCCTATTATTAGGGTTCTCTCCCTCCCTTATGTGCTCCAAGTGGGTTTTCCCTCAAATAGTCACTCTCCTCAGGTCGCCTGGCTTAGTGCCTACAGGGTTCAGTCCTATAGAGAAGGTATCTCGGGCACTAGGTCCATCTTAGGGCTAAATGAAAGCACTATCATTTATGTTCTAGTTGTATGACCTCACACATGCTTCTCAACCATTGAGTTTCAATTTATTTACCGATAAAATGGAGTAAGGGCTTACCACAGAAGTTGTTGTGAGAATTAAACCAGTTATTGTAAGTAAAATGACTCACCCATAGTCACACTCAAAACATGCTGGTGTTTTTCTACTGGTTTCTATCATGCATGCATGTAGCTGAGAGGGTTTTTGTTTTTTCCCCTAGCTTATGGACTACTGTAAATGAGATTACTGCTTTTTATCAAAACAGTAACCTTGTTTTCATGTGCTGAAGTAGGACAATGTCCCAGCAGGCCCTTGGCCCTCACAAAGCAGAGGACAAACGTGGCCCACACATCTTTTGATTAGTGTAAACAATGATTTAGGCATTTAACTGAGAGGGAAACTCTGGACTCACACTATGGAAATCCTCTCCATGCCCTCCTGGCCCAGCTTCAGAAAACTAGGAGAGACATGTGAGGACTGGACTCAAAGGACTCTCATCAAAGTGGCCCATTGGATTTCTTCAACAGCAGCCTGAACTAATTCCCCAGTATATCTGTGGACGCTAGGTTGTAACAGCACAGTCAACTGGGACACTAGGTGAAATATACAGCTGAAGTCACAAAACAGCCTTCAAACGGTTGGGCTTGTTCAGCCTCCCTCCCAGTGCCGGGCCCTCCACGGATGCCGGTCATTGTAGGACACTCGGGTGCTCCCCGCTGCCTTCTGGGCTCATGGTAATACTGGGTTCATGTCTGCCTGGCGTGTGGACACTGTGTCTGGGGCTGTACCTGGCTCCAGGGTGACACCTGCCACTCCTCACAGGGCTCCGGGTTGCAGCTCTTGCTCAGCGGGGGAGGGGCACCCGCCAGGAACTGGCAGTGAAACGGCCTCAGGCCCCTGCGGTCCTTGCTGTCCACGCACTGGATCTCTCGGATCTGGAAGCCTCCACTGCAGTTTCTGGAGCACTGGATGGAGAGAGAGAAAAGGAAACACTAAGCCGTTGGCATCGGCCTTCAACCCCCTGATTCAGAGGGGATTTCACAAAGAAGTCCCAGGTTTCTGGTGGAAAGAGGGGTTAGGTTGAGTTCAGGTGAACCTCCATTTCCCTCACACAGCCTAGAAAAGAAGTCACTCAAGCAGCTCCAGATACTGGGCCATTCATGCCAGGGTCTGGTGGACAGGGACACACCCGCACACCCTCCGGGGTACGCCTGAGAGATGAGTTGTGGAGCAGGTTTGCAAGGCAAGATGCTGCTGTCCAGTGAACAGCCCTCTTGCTATTTATATAGTAATAGTGAACAAGCATGAGTGATTACGTTGACAATGGTGGGAGAAATGGGGTCCAGGAGAAACAAAGGCTGTCAACTCTATGGGGGAACAGGACTTCAAAGAGGTCAATGGGTGTCAGTTATGTAGGACACAGGGAAGGACATGTCGGCCACACAGACAGGGAGAACTTTCCGTACAGATGCTGGGTGTAATTGCCGAGCTACTCCCAGATCGTCTTGGACCCTGACCACATGGTCGATCAACGGTTACCTAGGTGTCCCGCCACCTCCTGATGTGGGCTATGTCTCAGGGCAGTCATGCAGGGTGCCTTGTCCAAGTTATTCACACACAGAGATGCCCAGAGAGGCCCCGGCACAGAGGTGGAGAAGAGGCCACAACGTTGGGGAACTGGGTGAGCAGTCAGGACAGGAAGTGGGCTGCCAGACACCAACCATTCTGCACCCCTCAGCTTCCTTTCCACATTGAGCCCAGCAATTAGATGACAGATTTGCTTTGTAAGCAGCAGCTGAGTCATGACTTAATTATACAGGGGCTATGTATGAGGATGCCGCTAACTTTAAGTGAAGTCAAAACAGTGTAGCATGTTGCACAAGCAATTATTTATGCAAATTTAATTTTCAGTCTGCTTTATCTGGGCAGGGAAAGGACAGCAGATGAAAACATGTGGATTCAAAAAAGCTCTGTACCTGTCCTAAGTTTCCTGTGTAAATTGGTAGAGGCCTGTGGTCATTCCTGTGATTTGCTCAAGGAAGTGAGGAGGAAGAAAGGGAGAAAGGCGAGGAACCTGCCTTAGCAAAGGCTTCCCAGAGACAGCCCTGCCTCCAGCCCCCCAAACACACTGGGCCGCATGACTTACCTTGCTCCAGTTTCCCACTTTCCAGCTGGCACAGGGGCGGAGGTGGCATCTCTTAGCTGGGTCGGGCCTCTGCAGAGCAGCACAGTCGGACTCCAGCCGGGTGCTGCACTCCACGCTTCGCCAGTAGGTGCCCAGCCCACATGTGGTGGAGCACTGTGTGGGCAAGGGAGAGAACACGGAGGCTGGGGGCCATCTTCCCAGACACACCCCAGAGTCAGGGGTTCTCAGTCCTGGCCACTCAATAAAACAACCTGCAGAACTTTTAAAAAGTGCTAGTGCTGGCTGCTGGTGGGAATGCAAACTAGTACAACCACTATGGAAAACTGTTTGAAGGTTCCTCAAACTGCTAAACATGGAATTTCCCTACGACCCAGCAATCCCACTCCTAGGTATCTACCCAAAAGACACAAAAACACTGATTGAAAAAGATATCTGCACCCCCATGTTTATTGCTGCTTTATTTACAATTGGAAAAACATGGAAGCAGCCCAAATGCCCAAAAGTAGATGACTGGATTAAAAAGATGTGATCCATATATACAATGGAATATTACTCAGCAACCAAAAAAGAGAAACACATGTCTTTTGCAGTAACTTGGATGGAGCTGGTAAAGATCATGCTGAGTGAGATAAGCCAGAAAGAGAAAGAAAAATACCGGATGGTTTCACTCATAGCAGGAGTATAATGGACCAGGCGAGAAAATAACAAAAATAATGAACAATCATATACCAGAGACATTTTGTAGGGGTGGAGTGGGGAATGGGACCAAAACGGGAGGGGGGGGGAGTGAAGTGCACGGGATTATGGTGATGGCACACGGGTGACATAGTGATGGGAAACCCGCGGGGATTACAATTGAGATGGAAAAAAAATGTACAAAATGATGTAAAAATAAACTTTTGTAAATTAAAAAAAAAAAAGTGCTAGTGCTGGTCCTCCCTGGTGGCCCAGTGGGTTGGAGCACAGCACTGAGAAGCTAAAGCCACTTCCACATGAGTTCGATTCCCGCCTGCCCCAGAGGTGACCACATGGTGCAGCAGACCTCTCCTGACTCGCCCGCTGCTCCCCTCAGCAGTGTACTCTTGTCAATCTGCTTGTTCTGCTCCCCGCTCTGTCCCTGGTGAATCCTCTTGCCCTCCGCATCTCTGGCCTGTACCCCAGTTCTGTATGAATAAATAAATCTTTAAAAAAAAAGTGCTAGTGCTGGGCCCTCCACCCCCCAAATAAATCTACCTGACCCTCTATTGGTAAACTGGGCATCAGTGCTTAAGAAAATTCTTCCATTGGTTCCAGTAAACAGCTGGGCTTGAGACTCCTTGGCTTATATACTAGGAAGAAAACCAATTGCAAGAAAGAAGCAAAGGACATTTGTTTCCCTTCAAAAATGGTCTGGGGTGAAGGGCTGGGGGCTGCAGGCAAACTGCTGCATTTCTCACCAAAGCTGTTCAGAGTGGGGTACATCCTCACCTCTGCTGCTTCCTCCCTACCCCTAGAGCACTCACTGACAGGCCTGCACTATCCCGCCCTGTGGCGAGCCTGTGGCACAGACTGCTACTGTGATAGTGTAGAACAAAGACACTGCAGCTTAGAGAGTCGGCTGCCCCAGGAGAGAGGCAGGGTCTTCCTGCCTCCACGCGTAGTGTGAAGTCTGTGATAGCAGCGTCAAAACCTTCTCGTGCTCCGATTTGACAGGAAAGTGTGAGGAGGGGCTGTGGAGTTTGCATTTCTACCACGTGAGCCTGTCACCAAGCTCCCAGGTGAGGGGTCTCTGACCACAGGTGCTGCAATATTCTGCTCTTCACCATCTGACCATCTGACCCAGTGCTGGAGAATCAGGTGGTCAGCTCTGGTGTAAGTGCAGTCCATTCCTCACAGGATGTTTTCATTGATTTATACTTGGATTCCAAGTCACAGGTTTAGCTTGGGGTCATCTGAAACATACACAAACTCTCTCCCTCGAAGCTGTGCTAGTTTACATGCCCAATTCCTTCAGACCATTGATACTAAATCATGATTTCAAACCTAGAGTCTGGTTTCAAACTTTAGGACTATTTATAGTGTGATGTTGGTGTCCACATTAATGACTTACCCTTTGAGACCACACTGAGGGGGGGCATGTACAGTGCTGGGCATGAACAGTCCTGCACCACTGACAGAAGGGAGAGGACAGGGGTCAAGGAGATCTCAGATCAAAGGCTAAGGAGCTTGCGAAATTACTTCTACCCATGAAATCAAGGAACGCACCACAGAAGAAGCACACAGCTTGACCCTGAAGAAAATGGCAGTGAAATCACACCAACAATAAACTCTTGATATCTGACTGCAAAACTGTGGCAACTAGAGGGAGAGGATGGTGGGATAGCTGTGGGGGAGGGGAGGGTCCAGTGGACGTGCCAAACACCTCAATGGGTCAATCTGATTTCAGGATATCTAGGCGGAGTCCCTTGTGGGGACACCTCAGCGAACACTTGCTTGTAACCACCAGAAAGTCACTCCCTTTAGGGACCAAATGTGAACCATAGTCCAATTGGAAACAAAAAATTTGAATGTCTGAATTGACCTATTTGTCGCCAGTACAGGCTGACTTTCAGGTGGTTACAAGCAAGTCATCAGGCTGTGGTGTTGCTTTGAACTACCCTGTGAGTGGAGCGTTTTTTTCCTGCCCACTTAGGGGCCCACCTGGTTTGTTTTTATGTCTTCTGACCCAGGAAGAAACAAACAGGGAAGAGGGTGATTTGCAGAGCAATGGGTCAGAGGTTACGACTTCCGCTCCATCACTCCTGAGTGCTGATTCAGGATGCTCACTTGCGATTCCCTTGGCTTCAGTTTCCTGCCTCTAAAATGGGGAAAAGTGACCAATGTCCTTGGGCCACGGAGAGGATTAAATGAGTGAAAATGCATGTTGATGAGCAGCAATCATGCCATCAAGGTACATGCTTGCTAAGTGTTCACTGTCAACACCCCCATTCGCAGCTCTTTAAAACAGCAAAGAAAGATGAGGACAATTTCAGGGGTCATGAAACACATTCTTTCCACAAATTAGATTACTCTAAGCAAGAAAAGCATTCTCTTCTGAACCTGGGTCTCTATTTGCAAATGGAAATAAGCTGTTTCTCCACTGCCAGGGAATAGGATCCCTCCCTTTAGGGACCAAATGTGAACCATAGTCCAATTATAAACAAAAAATTTGAATGTTTGAATTGACCTATTCGTTGCCAGTACAGTCAATCCCATGAACAATGATCCTGAATTTTACGGAGCTAAGCTGTCAGCTGGTGCTGAAATTCCCTAGGCAGACAACAGGTTTGTGCTCACCATCAGCCTGCATGTGCTCTTAGCCAAGGCACTGTAAAAGCCCCGCTTTCTTTACTGATAAATTGGTCTAAATGCGACCCTCCCTGCTCCCCAGGCTGTCAACAGGAGAAAACAAGAAACAACATAGGAAATTAGTTTGGTTGGGAAGCAGAGACGCTCTCTAAATGTACTGTTACTTCTTTATTAGCAATACTTCACCTCACCCTAGCAAGGGAGATGACTCATGAATTGTCACAAAAATGCTGAATGATGTAAACGTGGGATTATTGTGCTCTAAGGCCTCCTTTGAGTTGTCAAATAATTTTAACAACTTCCTATACTATGCATTCAAAATTCAAATGGGTGAGAAATTATTTTGATGCTGCAAAGGATGTAATTAGTTCTGAAAGTAGAAAAAGAAATATCTAGTCACATTCCTGAAGCCTGAAAATAGGGACCAACATGTAGTCACCCTCTTTATTTCCCTCTTCCTCTATATTCTAATTCTTTTAATGAGCCTCAGAGATTTTTTTATTCAAGCAAGCATTCAACAGACTAGAAAGAAATCATCACTGCAGTAATTGGTAGAATCATTTCAAATCATTCTCTTAGATTTTGATTCTAATCACACTTTCTGGACAGGCTGAACCTTGAGTCTCACTACAAGCTTCTGCATGAAATGTGGATACAGCCCCTGAGCTGTCCTTGATCAGACGCCTCTCCCAGTGCACAGTGGGACAGGACCCTGGAGCGGATCTCCACCAGCCCTGTTGCTCTGGTGAGAATGAAACAAGAACCTGAGTTCAGATTCTTCTCACTATCCCCTCATACAGACTTTGTTTTTTTGTTTTGTTTTGTTTTTTTTTAATATTTATTTATTTATTCATACAGAACTGGGGTACAGGCCAGAGATGTGGAGGGTGATAGGATTCACCAGACAGAGTGGGGAGCAGAACAGGCTGATGATCAAGGTACCCTGCTGAGGGGAGCAGTGGGCGGGTCAGGAGAAGTCTGCCTCGCCATGTGGTCACCTCCAGGACAGGCGGGAATCGAACTCATGCGGAAGTGGCTTTAGCTTCTCAGTGCTGTGCTTTAACCCGCTGCGCCACCAGGGAGGGCCCCAGACTTTTTTACTTGGACGTAGGGAGGAAGGCGGTTGTTGAGAGCATGGACCTACCTGCTTTCTGTTTTCTCCACACTAGACTATATCCCAGCCTCTGCCCCTCCTCCACCCAGTCACTGCCTGCAGATTCAGGTGTGAGGGAGGAAATGCACTCCTACCTCACTCCAGTTCCCAGCGACCCAGCGGGCAGGGCCGTGGCTTGCTGGGAGCTGCCTGTAGCTGGAGGCGTTCAGCAGAAACCCCTCAGCGATCAGACTTGTTGCATCCTCCTCAGTCAGGACTGGTGCTGACCTGTGCGTTAGGTTCATGTTGCTCAGAAGTTCTGGGGGGTCACGGATTGCTGACTTTTCCAAGGGCCCTGACCTGTGGTCTCCTCCCAGAGGGACTGTGGTACTGGCTGGCTTTGCAGTGAGCAGCCTCTCAGCTATGGGTGCACCACTCTCGGGGGCTGTCGCAGTCTGGCTGGGTAGCAGTCCCTGTGTCACTGTGCTGAAGGGCAGCCCCAAGGGGGCCCCTTTCAGAGGAGGTGTTGGCGGGGGTGCCAGTGGCAGTTCTGCTGAAGCATCATCTGCAGGTACTCTGATTTTGGTCCATGTTACAGAGTTGCTTTCAGTTGTGTTCTCAGGTGGGTCACTATCTTCTCCTGAGCCACTGTGGATCTCTATTTCGGGCTTTCTGGTCACAGTAGTAGAACCCGGAGTCGCCTGCCGGGTCACAGGGTTGCTGGAAGATGACAAGTGAGAGCCAGTCACTGTGGTGGCTACAAGATCTCCTTCTACAGTAGGAGCAGCGACTGACGTGCTGGCCTCCTCTTCCTTGGGGAGGATACTGACAGGCCAGGAAAAGAGGGTGGGCTGGGAAGTACTTCCAGTGGACATGGCATAATAGGGGTCCAATTCAGTGTGGGCTGAACTATTCTGCCAGTGTTTCCCATCCAAGGCTGTGGTAGGTGTGGGACCGTGAGGTGACACAGAACTTGTGCTCACAGGCTGAGGCAGTGCGGCTGTGGTCCGTGTGCTGGGGCTGGCTGTCGTTGGAGGCATGGGCTGCGCAGGGTCTTTCTCAGCTGTGGGTGGCTCTGTCCCAGTGGAAGTTCTGCTTCTGTGGGGTTTCAGAAATCTCCGTCTAGACGGGCACTGCTGGAGGCCACAGAGAGCTCGGCTGTTGGGTTTCCTTGTCACATCACAAGGCTCATCGTGGTTCTTGGCACAGGTGACACTGCGTGTCCGCACCCCACCACCACAGGAAACAGAACACTGGGGAGAGAGAGACGGCGGTTAGTCCAGCCAGCAAGCGCTGGTTCTCACGCTCGGCTTTACGGCTCATTCGTACAGGCCAATGCCAACTCACCTGTGCAGCTAAAATTCTCATCTACCTTTATGTTTGGTTTCTGTGTCTTTTAGTTTCCCATGGAAACAGGTATCTCCTGGAGAAAACCTGGGGCTGACATCCAACCACTGAGTCTCACAAACTACAAAGCTCGATACAGTAAAAACTAGTCTCTCTGGGCTTTGAATGTTGCACACATATGAACAAGTCACCTAGTCTTTCCAAGAGATGGTAATATTATCTTTCTTGGGGTTGTGGTGGTATCGCACGAAGCCCCAGTTTTTAGTTATTCTCTGGGTTCTATTCCATTCGTTTTAATGAACATTTCCTTTTATATTTAGAAAATACCCATTATACCTCAGAGAGTCTTCCCAGGCACTAGAAGGTCAATTTTCACTTGCCTCTGCTAGGTGGAACCGGATTAAAAGCTACACAGTGAGCACGCTCACACATGTAAATAGCCAGGACTTTCCCTGAAATTTAAAGTGTGAGTATCAATCAAAGGTGGGAGCTACGCTTTCTGAAGAGCTAGGTGAGTCCCTTGGCATGGGCTGACGTAACATGTGTGCATGTTTCCCTCTGCAGGGTTCCCTCACATTCTCTAGGGCACGCCAAAGCACAGGCAGCCAGGCTGGCAGGAGGGGATTCCGAACACGACAGCTCTTCCTCTGGATTTAGTATAGAGAACACTTATACATCAGTCAAAGCAGCTGCAAGCCACATAGAGCTACTACATAATACTAAATTTCCAGATTTTAAAAAAATCATACCAAACTGTTTTAGTTTTAGCTTTCCTTTCCAAAGACATCTGACATCTACCAGTTAAACAACCCCTGAATACAGACTATCCAGGGACCTTTGCTGTCTCTTCCCACCTGTCCTCCTTATATTCCTGATATGATAGCAAGTTTTTTTTTGTTTTTTTTTAAGATTTATTTATTTATTCATACAGAACTGGGGTACAGGCCAGAGATGCGGAGGGTGAGAGGATTCACCAGGAACAGAGTGGGGAGCAGAACAGGCAGACCGACAAAGTCCACTGCTGAGGGGAGCAGCGGACAGGTCAGGAGAGGTCTGCCGCGCCATGTGGTCGCCTCCGGGGCAGGCGGGGATCAAACTCATGCTGAAGTGGCTTAAGCTTCTTAGTGCAGTGCTTTAACCCGCTGTGCCACTAGGGAGGGCCAGCAAGTTTTTTAAAGATGGGGAGTGCTCATGTTAATTGCTGCTTTATTTACAATTGGAAAAACATGGAAGCAGCCCAAATGCCCAAAAGTAGATGACTGGATAAAAAAGATGTGGTACATATATACAATGGAATATTACTCAGCAACCAAAAAAGAGAAACACATGTCTTTTGCAGCAACTTGGATGGAGCTGGAAAAGATCATGCTTAGTGAGATAAGCCAGAAAGAGAAAGAAAAATACCGGATGGTTTCACTCACAGCAGGAGTATAATGGACCAGGAGAGAAAATAACAAAAATAATGAACAACCATATACCAGAGTCATTTTGCGGGGATGGAGTGGGGAATGGGATCAAAAACGGGGGTGTGGGGAGGGAAATGCATGGGTGATGGCACACGGGTGACTTGGTGATGGGAAACCCGCGGGGATTACAATTGAGATGGAAAAAAAATGTACAAAATGATGTAAAAATAAACTTTTGTAAAAAAAAAAAAAAGATGGGGAGTGCTTAAGTCTCAGTGGATTTCAAAATCTCCAGGACGTCCCTGGTAGTTCTACAAGCCGTAGAGGCAGAAACTGTTATTTCATCGCCCACAGGAGAGGAAACCAAGGCCCACAGATTTGTGTGAAAGGCTGCAAATCAGTGACAGAGTAAACATCAAATTTATCCCATGTCCCTCCCCAGCTCCCCAAAAAAACAATCTAATGCAGTACTCTGGACAAGTAGCCATCCACTGAGTTCGCTTATTGACTTAACCAAACTCCTGAATTCTGAAGTCACCCAAAGGCAGAAACTGCTCTTCATCCATAACTGAATTCCAGAATAGATGTTGGGGGACCCTGGTCTTTTAATACATATTCATTAATTGACTTTTACCTGGGAAAAGTCAAATGGTATGGAAAATTCTTACCATGAGTATGGGTGGTTTTTAGCTATGCTTTCTTGTAGTCTCAATTTCCTCTGTGTGAGAAAATAATACTGATGTAGAAAATTTCCCCTTCCTTTTGTTCCAATCAGGCATAATCATTCACTGAAATTTGACAGCTCTTTGAAATCATCTCCTTTGAAAAGCTGGAGAAGGTTTGTAAGTGCAGACTAATGTTCAGCTGAGGGAGTGTAAATTGCACATTTGGAATCAACCAATAAAGCTATGAATTTAAGATGTCAACAGAACACTTAAAACATCCACCAAGTTTGCTTTGATATAATACTAATATTTGTTAAGGACATTGCTTCATGGACTGAAAAATGCACATTAATTTCCCACTAAAATGGAGTGCACCAGCTAAGAGTCTCAGAGTGTGTGAAGATAATTAATCCTTCATTAATTTAGTCATCTGGAGTCCTTTCCTATTTTTAGATTAGAATCTCTTGAGTTTTCAAATCACCACTTTGTAAAAATTTATCAATCCATCTAAGCTTCATATATCTAAACAATTTTCCACCCTGCTGCCTCAGGCAGGCTGGATTTTGAGAGCTAATTCATAAATGAGGCCCATCGTTAAAACTATTTTCGAGCAGCAGGTACATGTAACTCCATCTGGGCTTTTCTTTCCCAAAAAATGTCAAAGTAGACAGAAATAATAGGATAATGTGGTTTCCTTTTCTTTCTCTTCATTCCTTTGTTTGTTTGTTTTGACTTGAAATGTCTCTAATTCCCATAGGGAATTTAGACTTCACTGTACACCTCTACAAACACTTTGAAAATACAAAGGCATATCATTATGTGCTCTCTACTCCCACACTGTACAATTAAATAAAAGAGCTGTGAAACCAGAAAGTAGCTTAAACTCCATCTGCCATTATTAACACTCTGCAATGCATAGCAACTAATAATAATTAACGCCCACCTTTAAGGCTGCCGTGAGGATTATATGAGATGATTGTCTTAACGCTGGGCATGATGAATAGAGAACAAGTAACGGAAAGCTACCACTATCACTATTATAATAGCGACATTGGTGATGATAATAAGGCATGGGGAGTCTCAATTTCTAGTGTCCACATAGAGCTGAGGAAGGTGTGAGACGAGCACCTGTCTCATAATGCAGCTGTAGGCATGTCTCAAAAACACTGTGAATATGGAGAACCACATATTCTGCAGGTTTACATAAAAAATAGCTATTTAGTTGTTTATTTACTTAAAATATATTAGGCTTTGATCTTTTAAAACAGAAGATTATTCTAGACCAAAAATTGGCCTGAAGGCAGATGATGGGCTAAATTATATCCACTAACACTCATTTTCTCACTTGCTTAATCAGACCAAAAAAAAAAAAAAAAGAGGGAAAATGGAATTAGATACAAAAATGGAACTAGTGGGCATCATTTAAAAATTAGAAAACTTCAGGCCCTCCCTGGTGGGGCAGTGGGTTGGAGTGCTGCACTGTGGAGCTAGGTCAAGTTGTGGCCACTTGCGAGTTTGATCCGCCGCAGAGGTGACCCACGTGGCGTGGCAGACCTCTCCTGACCTGCCCACTGCTCCCCTCAGCAGTGTGTTTCAGTTAATCTGCCTGTTCTGCTCCCCACTCTGTCTCTGGTGAATCCTCCCCCACATACTCACCACCCTGCACCTCTGGCTATACTCTAGTTCTGTGTGCATAAATAAATGGATCTTTAAAAAAAAATTAGAAAACTTCACTGTAAAATTCCAGGCTTCTAGTTCTTGCAATGCCACATAATCTGCAACTATTGGTCTGATTCCCAAATGGCAACTCAAAACGTCACTAATGGAGAGCTGGGTCTGAGGGGAGTTTCTGTTTCCAGCACACCTATTGCTCACCCCATCTGCTTTCCTTACCCAGTAGACACAGAATCTTCCAAATAAGTAGAGCACTGTAAATGTAGGCCCCATGGGAAGGTGTGACCCATCTACCGTCTACATTGGGCCTTGCAACTGACTTGCCTTTTCTCACTGTCTGTCAGAACAGGCAGGGCTGCTTGGTATTCAGCCCACACTTCCTCCAATGTATCTCCTGACTGTGCGATCTCCCGAGAGCTGTCAAGCTCTTCAGAGGAGATAAATGCAGGACACAGGGCATACTTAGAACTCATCTCAGTTGTAGTTTCAGAATGCACAAAAACAAATTGTGCTATGATTACTTTATAATTTTGAACTCTGTGCCAGGCAAGCCTCTTGTCAATCTGTTACTGTCCTCCCTGGAAGTTATCATGCCCTCATCTTCTACCACTCCTAAACTGAGGCCTCAAGGGAACCCCCTGAGAAAGAGGCTAAATTAGTGGACTCTACTCACCTGAGGTGCACTCTCTGTGTTTGTGGGGGGTGGGAGGGGGCTCTCAACTGGCTGAGAGTCAAAGTACTGAGAGAGTTTATTTAAAAACAGAGAGTTTAGGCTAAAGCACTAATAGGAATATTATTTTAGGCATGGAAACATTAAATTCATAATCTCAGGAATGTATAATGAATGACTAGATTTAATTCTAAAATCAGCTTCAAAAGTAAACTAAACACTCAGGTACCAGTGATGGGTTGAACTGAGACCCTCAGCCCCCCAAAAGATATAAAGGCTCTTAACCCCTGCCCACCACCTCCCCCTGTACCTCAGAATGTGGACTCAAATGGAGATGGAGTCTTTAGAGGCAGGCAAGGTAAAGTGAAGTCACTAGGTGAGCCTTCATTAACTATAACCCTTGTCCTTATGAAAAGGAGAAACTTGGACATAGAGACAAACACATAGTGACAATGTCATGTGGAGGTGACAGCAAAGGTCAGGGTGGTTAAGTCTACCAGCTATGGAAGCAACCCACCAGCCTCAAGGAGAATGGCAAGAGGCTGACTGGCCCTCACAGACTCAGAAAAAACAATGACAACGTTGACACCTTGACCTTGGGCTTCCAGTCTCCAGAGCTGTGAGACAACACACTTCAGTTGTTTAAGTCACCTAGTTTGTGGCACTCTGTTCCACCATTCATAGCAAAGTAATGCAATAACTTAGATAATTAAAAAAATAATAATGACTAGAATCAACATGGTGTCCAGCAGATTTTATGTGAATCCTTGTTTCCAACAACGTTGTTTAAATGATCCTCCAGGAAACCTAGCAAAGCTGGCATCTGGAAAGAACTGAGGTGTTGGCACCTGCAGATGTCTCAGGCCAAAAGAAAAGGTGGAGTTTAAAATATCAGGTGTTCAGCCCAAGAGAAACATTTCGTACAGAAATTCAAATGGGAATTTTAGGAGTAGGTTACTTAGGAGCTGGTAGTTTTGGGACAATTAATTTAACTCCCAAAGTTTTAGGTTCATCAGTTGAAAAATAGGGGAATTAATGAACTCTTATCAACCTTATAAAGCTATTTTAAGGGTTAAATGAGATAATGCAATGTGGTGGAAAGTACCCATGAAAGATGGAGGATATCACTCACTTCAATAATAGATGATAATGTGAACAGATTGCACTATATTAACTCATTTAATCCTCTTAACATGTATCCTCATTTTAGGCATGGAAACAAGTCGTAGAAACCTAATAGTAACCACAGAGAGATTACGTTTGCAAATCTAATAAGCAATAAAATAAAGCCAGGATTTGAACTCCAAAGTTTATGCCTTTGCCAGTAGATAGCTATCTCTCATAAATCATCCCATACAAAAAGGAGCCACATAAGCTCTGAGACTTCATCTTCACTTACAAAAAACAGAGTCCCCCTTCTTTAACCTAAAAGCTCAGAAAGTAGGTTGGGCAAAAGTGTGCTAAGGTTTTTGTTGAAACTGGAGATGAGGAGTGGGTTCAGGCCTCCAGAGAGCATGGGCTTAGAAAGGGGAGGAGAACCCTCACTTCTCTTAACTCAACTCCTCCTCTGACTCCTCTTGGGTTAGGGATGATTGTGCCCATCTCACATAGTTAAGCCAACCTACCCTTCATGGCTTGGGTCAGCAGGGGAGCAAGATAGACAATTCAAGGACTTGCCTTTTCTCCTTCCCACCTTGTTGGCCTGGCAACAAGAAGTCTAAGAGCTTCAAGATTCTTGAGTCTTTTGGTCCAGTTACCTTTAGCATCAGACTCATCCAGGTGGCCCTACTGGCTCAGCGCTGACCAATGTCCAGGTATTACTAGAGCACTACCCTGCCACCGTCAGTGCTGATCTTAAGACAAAATCCAGATCCTAAATATTGTATACAGCAAGAATTACTAAACCAACCTTAAAAAAATAGGCACAGTTAGGATGTCAAAGACATTCTACTATATTCCAGCAAAGTCCATTAATAGGCTAATGTGTACAGACATTATTAAGGAAAAACCATTTGATGAATATTTTGCTGCTGATTTAACTAAAGGCAACTCTCCTGACATCTCCTGAATGAAGGCAGCAAACTCAATCTTTATTCTTGACTCCAGCAAGTGGGAAATAGAAACTGGATTCCATGTCTGTTGTCAATCCACTATGCAATGGCCTCTATTTGGAATAAAAGACATGAGTATTTGTCGCATTGAGCCAACTTTTTGGCCTCTTGTCCTCTGGTTAAGGCACATCATCTTGCTCCCCATAAACATGAGCACAATAAGAATGACTATTCAGCCAAATGTGTAATTACAGTCCTTTGAAAAACCAAGGTGCTGGCAATTAGTAAATTTTTCATGACAAGGACTATTAACTGCTTCTGGTGCCCACACTCTTTTGGCAAACAGATTTAATGGACCAGTTACAATACCTCCATTCAGCCTTATTTTGACAACACTGTAATTTACAGCAATCTAGGTTACAGTGGACTAATAAGTCAGGCTAGCTACAGGCTATCATTCTATCTTCCCAAGAACATCAGGGGGGACATTCTGGCCCATTGTTGCATGCATTGTGCATATATCAGTAGCACACCTATATTAGTCTGTAGGTTTTTCCTTACATGCATACCTTTGACTTTTCTTATTTTAGTCCTATGTCCTCATTTAATAGGAGGTTCTTACAACAGAGGGACTATATTTCCTATTTGTTTTTCATTTTCACCCAGTTGCCCAAGAAAGGGTCCTATACAGAAGTAGAAGTTAACTAAACCTATGAAGAGTTTTAGGAATAAGTTTATCAAAGTAGCTATATTCAAATAAACATTTTCTGTGTTTGAATAGCATCAGAGACAGTACATTTGTTTATATAATTTTTAGAATTCTTTAAATAACACGTTTAGGGCACCTATAAAATGAATGAAAAGCAATCTCATTTCCTTATAACCAAATAGCAGTTTTTAAGCACTAAGGTTTTATACAAATTGATCATATCCCTTATTTATCATACTTAATGCTAACTGATTTTCTGTGGCTTTCAGCTGACTCAAGTGCCTTCCATTTCTCCAAAGAGAAGTCATAAGAGAAGTTACTGAAATGGGCAATGGTAGCATGATTGCGGAAATCATGACTGTGGAAAGCACTTCCTAAGGAAGTTTGTAAGTCACCTGCCATCTATAAAACCTGCCCTGTTGGTTTTTCAAAAGACCACTTATTTTCTAGCCATGATTTAGGTCACTGACTAAAACATGCACAGAAAAGCAGAGCGTAGGTCTCTGGAGACTTCAGAGCCATGGCGAAAGGGCTTCACTTCTCCTACCGTCTCTGGGGCACAGGACTGAGAGCACCAGTCTCCACAGTGACCCAGAGAAAATGGCAGCCTGGGTGTTTTTGTTTGTTTGTTTGTTTATCTAGTCTTCTAGCCTACTCATTTCTGTTTATTATATTCAGAATTCAATCACATTGTTTTTGGGAAAATAAAGCATTTATTTGAATTTGCAGACCCTTAATAGTAAACATCATAAACTTTGTTTGGATCTGACCTGACACATGTGCACAGAGGAAGATTTGGGGGGTTCGCCATCTATCAGATGCACCCCTCATCCTTCCACTACTATAGTGGCATGTCTTTGGTTTTTGCTAACTCTTGCAGTTCTAGTGAAACCTAAGAACCGGTCAATGTTTAGCAAACCAGTTCTGGGGTGGGTGGTGATCCTTGATTTGCTACCAATAGTTTAACAATTGATCAGCAAAAGTCCTGAGGATTTAACAACTAACTACTATGTGCCTCTGTGAGCTGAATCCAGCTCATCCCTGGCAGGCATTTGACCCTAACTGAGTGAGAGAAATTTCTGGAAGAAGAGGAGTTAAGCAAGGAAGTGTACCAAGTAGTAGGAGGTACAAAAAAGAGGTCAGAGGTGATAAATATTGGTCAATGGTTAGGATCACTTCAGACAGTGAATGAAGAGTAATGGGTGTGGGGGGCAGGTGAAGCTTGACTAAAGCCAGCTTCCCTGTTAACTCCTGAGCTCACCTCACTCCAATTGCCTACTGTCCAGTCGGATGGACACAAGATGTCTCTGTTGCAGGAAATGAGGGTCTTGGGCTTCAGCAAGTGTTGGCAATCTTTAGCAGAGAGGGCCTGCTCATCAGAGCCCATGGTCTGGATGCACAGCACAATTCGTTTCTTCTCTCCATAGGGGCCACATGTTGTTGAACATGCTTCCCACTCACCTGACCACCACCTGCAGACACACAGAAAGGTGAGAGATGTCCAAGAGTGTATGCACGTTTCATTCAACCACCAGAAAGAGAAATCCAATGCACATATTTTATAATATGTCCCAAGGATTATATACCATGACCAAGTGGAATTTATCCCAGGAATACAAAGATGGTTTAACATTGTGAAACAGTCAGTGTAATACATGACATCAACAAAAGTAAAGATAAAAATCAGATGATGGTATCAACAGGTACAGAGAGAGCATTTAACACGTTTCAGCACCCATTCATCATAAAAACTCTCAACAAGATGGGGATAGGAGGAAACTACTTCACAAAATAAAAGCAAATATAATACTCAATGGTGAAAAATCAGAAGTTTCCCCATTAAGACCAGGAACATGACAAGGATGCCCACTGTCAGTATCCTTACTGAATTTAGCATTAGAGGTTTAAGCTAGAGCAATCAGAAAACCACAGGAAATAACAGGGATCCAGACTGCAAAGAACAAAAAAAACAACATCTGTCATAATTTGTATAAAATATCATACGAGCTGCATAACTGGTCCATTTCAAAATTTTGCTCATAATCAATAAGTTGCATCCCTGCACTCAGCTTAAGATGTACTGGACCAAGCTGCTCTTACAACTGAGAGATGAAGTAGTATGACGAGCACCCTGAGAATACGCATCCTACAGAGCCTGCCTGACTGTAGCTCCCTAAGGAAGTGACATGTTTGTGCTGTTCCAAAATACTTTTGCATCATACTAAGTGATGTTTCAAGGAGAACGACAAATACCAGATGATTTCACTAATATGGAATACACAGAAATAAAACAAAGGGTTACATACAACCTAACCAAAGCCAAACCCTAGACATCTCTCTGTAGAATCAAGGCTGCCAGCCAGAGAGGGAGAGGGAGGGTGTGAAGAGTGTGTAGAGGGCGCCCAATGGACGGTGCAGCAGGAATCTGGGAACCTTGGTGGCAAGTATGCTGTGGTAACAAAACTCAGAAGAGGGGCGAGCCTCACCTCTGAATCATGTACTATTGCAAGCCAAAGTTATCTCAATACAACAAGACACAACTCTTTGCAGAGTCGAAAGGCTTGAGGAACTCTGCTAGTAACCAGGACATGACCAATCCATGTATTGTTGTCTATCACAGTATCACAGTGCTCAAATACAAGGTAGCTGTTTTATAGTTAATACCATTGTCTCTCTCATAGGAAATACTGGGTGCTTAACATATACTTGCTGGAGAGATTAAGACCAAAGTACATTAAACAGTAAAAAACAAAAACTTGAATTCCAGGAAATACACAGATGTGGTTTTCCAAAAACAGCCAATGCACCAGAGAGAGCAGCTCTGAAGAGTCAGGTAGGAATCCCAGGCCACGTGTAGTGATTGATATTTAGCGAGTGCGATGTAGTGGTAGGGGTCACTGCTGTCAGGTAGAGCGAATGTGATGGAAACATATGATGTCTGCAGAATACAGGCGGTTGGTAGCTTTAGAAAGGTCCTCTTTCCTGGCCCACCCTTCCCTTCCAAGGTATAAGGAAAATGGCATTACACACAGAACCTAGGCCTCATCCTCCCTCCCCAGAAGTCCCTATTCCTTCCCAGCAGAGGCCTTACAGGTGACTAGTGAGGTGGGTATAGCACCTCTGTCCTGCCTCCACAGAGGTGGAGTCCAGGGTCCTCCCTCACAGCCCACCTCTTGCCCACAGAAACCACAAAACTGCACTGAGAATAAACCTGACTGAGAGAACGCCTGGCCGGTGGGTCCTGACTGAACCGAGCAGAGACCAGCATTGCTCACCTAAGCTGACCTGTCCAGACTCACTTGTTTGACGGATGGCAGCAACCAGTCCCATTGTGCTTAACAGAACTTTAGTGCATCTTCTCAGAACCAGAATGAATGACGGAAGCAATAACCCAAATATGCCAGTTAAGGTCAATGGATAATGACATGTCAGAAGGAAAGGTTTCTTTCTTCTTTTATCTGTCTTTCCTTCCTGCTGTCTGACTTCTGCCCTTTCTTCTCCTCTTTCCTTTCCTCCCTCCCCACACATCTCTCTCTCTCTTCAACATAAGCCCCTCATAAAACAGCCTAGTACCTTCTAGGATCTCAATACCTTGTTTTCTCCTTTATTTGTTTCCTTCCACTGCTGCTCATTTCTGCACAGTATTTGATGTCTTCCCTCAGGCATAGCCCCCATTTTCATCCGTTTCCTGCCCCTCCCCTGCTTAAGCCTCAGATCTATAGTTGCTTACAAGTTTTGTCTTCTTTTTGTTCGTGTGTCCTATATTCCTCCTGTAAGTGGTCATCCAATATTTTTCTTTTACCTCTAAATTATTTCACTGAGCATAATCCCTTCCAGCTTCCTCCATGTTGCTGCGAATGACATGTTGATCCATTTTGATAACTTATTCCATTGAGTATTTATACCATATTTTCTTGATTCGGTCATCTGTCTTGAGGTATTTAGGTCATTTCCATATCTTAATTATTATAAATAGTGCTACAATAACCATAAGGGTGCAGGTTTCCTTTTGAGTTCATGTTTTTGTGTCCTTTGGGTAGATTCCTAGGAGTGGAATTGCTGGGTCACAGAGTAGATCCATTTTTAATGATTTGAGGGTTCTCATACTAGGACCCCAATATCTTATATTAATATGGCTAGCAGCAAATGAATACCTCTATTGCTGGAGTCCTCAAGAAAGCTGACTGTGTCCCCAGGAGACACCTGGTAATGTTTGGAGAAAGCCACACAGCCTGCTATCACTGAACAATGACTACTCTAGGTCTGACATGACTGTAGGCAGACACAAAGTGCCAGCTGTCATCAGCACATACCTGGGTGGGCAGTCCCTCTCATGGCACTTCTTCTGTCTCCCGTTGGGCTGTGTTTCTGGGTCACAGAAGGTAGCTTTCACCATCCCATGGCCTTTCTTCATGCACTGGGCAGTCTGGCGGCGGATGCCTGGAGGGAAGACAGAAAGAATGCCACTGACCCGTACGTCTCACAGCACTAAATTAGCTGGAAGTGTTTACTTGGAAAGGGCACTCAATACGAATGAGAATCAAATTCAAGTTATTTCGAGAAGATTTCCATTCTTTGTGCATTGTAAAGACTCAGTACATCTTAATGGATGCTGGGAGTGAAAGATCATTTAAGAATCTTTATTATATAAAGAACTACAATGGGGTCCTCCCTCGTGGCACAGTGGGTTAAAGAGCAGCACTGCAGCATGCATTCGATTCCCAGCCAGGGAGCTGACCCACATGGTGCAGCAGACCTCTCCTGACCCGCCCGCTGCTCCCCTCAGCTGTGTACTTCGTCAGTCTGCCTGTTCTGCTCCCCACTCTGTCTCTGGTGAATCCTCTGCACCTTTTGCCTGTACCCCATTCTGTATGCATAAATAAATAAGTCCTTAAAATAAATTTAAAAAAGAACTACAATGGTTTCCTACAGCAATCCTGATCATCTTGAGCAGGGCTAGTACTGACTGTTACCACCTGGTACTTGAAACTGGAACACTGGTTTCACAAAGATAGGATGCCCTTGAAGAGAATGTAATATGATCTAATCTTGAAATTTGGAAGACCTTGAGCTAGTAGTTCACATAATACACAAATGATGTTCAGTACAGCTGTGATTCCCTTTAAAATTTCTATTTCCCTAATAACTTTGAAACATCCCATCGCAGCCCTTTAACTCTAACTCAGTCATGCAACATGCACTGACTGCATGAAGCAGGAATTCTGCTTCCAGTGTGTGAGAGTGTATATTAGAGAAGCTCCAGTATTAGGTAGTAAGTCGATTAGGTGTTCACAAATGTGCTGTAGAAATGTCTATAACAGGCCTCCGTGGTGGCACAAGGAGTTAAGTCTCAGTATTATCAAGCTATCACCAGCCAGTGCAGACTGAGTTTGATCCCCAGCCAGGGAGCTGACCCAACAGGTGCAGCAGACTTCTTTTGTCTCACCTGCTGCTCCCCCCAGCACTGTATTTCAGTCAATCTGCTTGTTTTGCTCCCCACTGTGTCTCTGGTGAACTCTCTCACCCCCTCCCCCACACCTCTGGCCTATACCACCGTTCTTGTACACATAAATAAATAAATCTTTTTTTTTTTTTATGTGAATGTGATCTTTCTTGCTCTCAAAACATCCTACAGTCTGTCATTTTTCAGATCACTGAAACCCTGTATAAGGAAAGATGACAGTAAAGCTTCAATGTATTGAACCTGTGAGGTTTTTATTTCTTGTTCTGGTAGCAGAATTTCCCCACCTAGTTCTTGGCAGCATGGAATCACCCCAAAGCTTGACTTTGTAAGAAGAAGCTACTGTCCTAGTAGATATAAAAAACTGATAAGCTGAAGAGAGAAAAAGAAGACTAGGCAATGTGGAGAGTTGGTTTTATTTTGCACTTGGCCCTGATGCGTAGAAGACATGGGTGGGTTTTCTACTTTTGTGTTCTTTCGACCCCATCAGCACCATGGTTTCTAAGTCTTTCTGCTTTGGTTTCTCAGAAACATGCAGCCTTTCTTCAAAAAAACAAAAACCTTCCATGTAGACTAGCGTAGAAAGATGGTAAAAAAAAAAAAACCCAAAAAACTGCCTTGCCCTTTTGACCAGGACCAGCACACCACCCCCACAGAGGCCCTGGGGCCATGTTGCAGAGCCCTGAGGCCCACCGGCACAGAGAGCCCACGAGCCGCCGTCATGCTGCCTTTATGATTTATCTGCGGCCGCAGTTTCTCACCCATCCCGCACGTCACGCTGCACTCGGTCCAGGGACTATACTGCCAGAAGTACATCAGCTGCCCCACGTCATTGTCAAGGCCATCCTTCCGGACTGTGTACTCATACTTGATGCCAGGGTTGGTCACCTGGAACAGAAGCTGAGAAGCAAGAGAGGGCCCATGTCAAACTCAGCCAGGACTTCATACTGGCTCAGTCCTGTAAAGGCAGCGCACGACGTCTGTGCCGTTAAGTGATTTTGGCGCATCTGCTGGGATAAGAGAGGTGAAGTGGAGACAGCCCTGCCCCTAGGCTACCTCTCTCTACCTCTACATCTGTATCTCTATCATCTAGTCTTCTCTGTTCTACTACTACTGGCTGAATTTCCGGGGGAACTTCAGTTCATGTAAACAGAGAGATCTCATCATTTGGGAATTGCACTGAAGGAAGAGTGGGGTGCTCCCCTCCAACGACACCTCACCTCGTGCCCTGTGTACTCACCAACTTTGTAATTATGGGCGAGTTAATCTCTGTGCCTCGGTGTCCCCATTTACATCGTAAGGATGATAACAGGGTTTCTATTTGTAGGGTTTCCGTGAAATTTAAATAATGAATGTAAAATAATTCGATATGATAGAACAGTATTTGGCATGTAGTTAATGCACCATAAGCAGTAATTGTACCATTGTTGCTACCTTATGGTACTATTCTCTAGCTCTCGGGCTGATTAGTTCTTTTTAAAAAGAGTGAGAAGTTTTAATAGTCAAAAGTTTTAGCCTAAGCATGGTATTCTTAGGACCTTCCTCTTCTACAACAATTGACTTAGCACACGTTAAAAATGGATTCATCTTAAAATTAGAGGTTGTGAGTTGGGCTGCTTCATAGGTTGGGGATGCACATCTATAAATCCTTTCCAATGTTGGCAGGTAAATCATAAAGATTTCTGGACACTTTCATGACACAGTTGTCAAGCCTTGAGCTCCGACTTCCCAGAGTGCTCTGTTCCTCTGGTTCTGCTTCCCACTATCACCTGTGTATCCTTAGGTCTGACCCCTCCCAAGCCACCTGCCACCCTGTACTGGCAGCTTTGCCTGTACTGGCATTCTTAATCTATTCTTTTCCAGTCGTGCTCGGCCAACATGAAACACAAACAACATGAAGAGCGCATACTGCATTCTAACCCCTCTCCTGGATGAGTTCACCAAGTCAAACCTTTTCCCTGAGGCCAACCACGTTGTCACATGTGAAAGAGCCACATCTGTTCCTCACTTTTGCTGGAAACTACTTGGCAACTCTCTGACCAACAGAGACTGATGGTGTCCTTTTAGCCTTCAGGAACTCATCCTCACATACACGACCTGTGTCCACCATACTGAGACAGACCTCCCGGAGGATGCTCTTAAGACCCCTGGCATTTCATTATGGGCATTTAAGCAACTTTGGACAAGAAAAGATCAATAGCATAAACCCCTCCCTGTTTCTTGTTATAAATTGCTTTAAGGTTCTTGATTCATCACCCCTAGTGAATACCTAGGAAAATTAGATAACTCCAAGCAATGTATGCATCAGCAGTTCCCGCCCCTGGTGCTTTACCTGGATCCACACCGACTCATTGGTGGGTCCTGTGGCCATAAGTTTCTCCAGGTCTCCTTTTCTGTCATACTGAAAGGTGGTCCCTGCCAGCTTGTAGTTCCCATTCCACTGGATAATAAACCCTCCATTGAGGTAATACTTTTCAGGGTCTTCACTACGGATGGCCAGGAAGTTTCCAGCTTCCTCAATCTCCATTACCCGTATGTCCCTTGCTCCCTTTGGTATCAGTCCAATGTCGACATAACCTAAGGAGAGAAGGTTTAATCATGAAAAAGGTGCAGTAGCTTGACTGAACACACCCTATTTCTGCTCTGTCCCTTATCCTCATCCCAACATCACCATATGATGCCTCGGGTAAGTAAGTGGGATTGGTAGCAGCACTGATGATGGGGGATTTTAAAGATGTGGCCAGGAGCAGAATTCTCAGGAGGTTTGTGATTCAGCATTCAGTTTTACAAAGAGGATGAACAAATGTAGATTGGATTCTGAAACTTGTGTGGCTGATCCAGCATTTATTTTTCTATGATTGCATGTTTAGTTGAAAATTTTACAGCCCCTAGCTGCTGCCCCATTTTTGCAGCTATCAGATTAATCTTTCTAAACACCGCAGTGGTTACATCCTTTGCCTTATCTTCATTCCCTGCATGTTAAAGACAGACTCTTAGAAGTGAGTTAATCACAGCTTAAATTCATCAAGAGAATTCTGGAGGGAATCTTGGGTTGATTGCCACCTGATGCTCTTGACTCCAGCTTGTGATGGGAATTCAGCTCTGAGCATATCCTTTTATGAGCTGGACAATTCATTAGATTTCCTCCCCTCATATTTGCTGAATTTATATTTTACGCTTTTGTGTTCTAATCCAGCCTTCTAAAAAAGCACAGCGGACATCATTTGAAGATGATCAATTCTGACTTCATTCTTTGCCTTGCTTATTGGCTGCTGTGGTAGCAGGCACACTGAGGGGAAAGGGAATTAACATTGTCTCTATTTGCCAAACTCTACTAGGTATTTATGCATGTGTCCTATTGCCATCGGGGGAAAGATGTGGATTTGGGGGATGGGATTGTGAGGGAGCACTGGAGCCCAGAACTGAGAACACTTGAGTTCTCATTTCTTCATTGCATGGGTGAGCTCTATGATAACATCAACTTCTTTGAATGTCATCTGCAAGATGCTGGGGCTTGTATGAGGTGATGTCTGATGTCCCTTCCAGCTCTGATATTTGATAACTCACACCTCCTAAGCTAGAAACACTTTGTTCCTTTAACCTTTCCATATGTGACACGGTCTTAAGATTCTGCTCATTTCCCACTGCACATGCGCTAGCTTTTCGGTGCAGGAGCAAAGCCTGAGCTGTCCCCTGTGTGTGCTCTGACAGCTCCCCCTCTCAGACCCTCAAAATAGGATACTGGGAATGAGTGTCCCGCTGGGACGATGTGCTCAGAAGCTGGGCACAGGCATAAGCTCATCCCACTTTCCAAATGGGCAGCTCCTACCAGGGGGACAAAATCTGACTCATAATATTCAACGAATTCTGCTTGGCCCTCATACTCTTGCCTGAGACAGCAGACTACTTATTTATAACCAGCTCAAGGAAAAGACTTAGGACTTTAATTTACGCACTTCCGTAATCCATAATGCAAAGAATACTTACTCCGTGCATAATGAAGCTATCAAGCAAGGACATGGGATAAAATCCTCCAACGATAATTCCAAAGGGAAAAACAAACATTTCATGTTACAGTTCAATCTTATTAATTTGATAGTCAAAGATGAAAAAGTAGGATAGAATTTAAATAAATCTAGATTATCTACTGTCATGCTTGCTAGGGAACAACAGGTCGTTTAATCATCATGCCCCATACTCTGGGGATCAACTTAGTAACTTCATTCTGGGTAGGCAAGACCTACCCAGGAAGACAGTGTCCCCTGTATCTGAATGTGCTCATCACTTCCATGCTTGGCATCTCCCTCTGCTGAGACACTGCCCCTCCCCCCACTGTCCTATGGGGCAGCGCACACTGGACACCCTACTCCTGCCATCGGCATCTCTACAACATCGAGATAATATAACGAGCTGACCCCACCCCCCGCGGCCCAAAACAGCCCCATGCAGCGACTGATGGGTGCTGGCATCGACTGTCCCAGCTCCTTCATCCCTTGGCTGGGAGAATGCTGATGTACAAGCTCAACATCGGCTTAATGACACCCCCTTTTTTCATTGCATTCCTTTCCCTGTCTCACTTTCTCAATGCTCTACTGATGCTTCATAGGCTTCCCTAACAACCCCCCCACTGAAATATATGCGCTTGAACTGTGGTCTAGGGGATCCTAAATGAAGGACCTAGAGTAATCTTCATCTTCCCCAGGTCTAAGTTAAGCTTCCTGCCAAAACAACGGCTACAAATCACCGTCTGTGCTAAACTTCTACAAGAAGTGTTTTAACTGGAGACAAATATGTGGGGTATCAAATCTGATCTGGGGCGAGGTTGGACTCCCCACTCCCCAAGGATTATTAGTAGCTTGAAGCTGCACGAAGAAGAAACACTGTAGAAGGCAATCGTGGTACAAGCACAGCAGAGTATAGGTAGATAGGGAGATTTTAGGTGGCAGAAGCTGCCTGGGAGACATAAGGGACCACTGGGTGGGGACCCCTTTGAGGAAGCAACTGGGACACAGACTGGAAGCAGCCCGGCCTCAACTGTCGGCTGGCCCTACAGGTGCGTCCTGATCCCTTCTGCTCCCTGCCTGTGTCCGCATCTTTTAAGCCAATTTCTGATCTCCACTCTCCCCAAGTTGTGGCCCATTTCTCTTACCAGTCTGTAGCCTGGATCCTCTCCCAAGGATCACATTCCTATACCTATTCACGTGCACAGTCACCAATCCACTTTTTTTTTTTGCTTTTATTTATTTGTTTTATTTTTAATAATAGTTTATTTTTACTGCCAGTCCATTTTCAAACTCTGGTTATATGATGCTTCCTGTTAACTGTTTAGCCATCATCCCCTTCCCCAAGGAGCCCTATGTCTTTTGTCATGAAGATTCCATTTTGAATTCTTTGAAAGTCACAATCAATGATAATAGCAATCCACCTTGCCCTCCCCACCCGCTTTCTCAGTTCCCCTACTGCTTCAATGATGTATTTGTTCCTTTACCAGATCCTTCCTTCTGCTTGAACACCTTCCTCACGGTCTGGCAGGCGGAGCCATCCCCCAGACACACTCCGCAGCGATCCTCGGTGGCACTGGAGTCAATCTCGTAGTCACAGCCCACGGTCTGCAGGGAAGGGAGCGGGGTGAGGGAGCAGGCAGGGCTACCGACCTGGGGCTTTGGCCTTCCCTTTGCTCCTGCTGAACTTGGGGCTGCAGCAAGACAGGAGGGAATGTTTCCTTCTCCTGCAGCAGCCAGCGGAGTAACCAGACACCTCGGATGATGAAGGAAATAAACTGCTCAGGGTGAGAGGGACATCCTGACAAGTTCTCTGATTTCCCCGAAGGCGCATGCTGATTTGAAACTCAGTTCCGAAAATTTCACCATGGAAGTGTATGGAATCAGCCTTAGGACAGCAAGTCCCTTGGACAGGCAACCCTCAGGCCGCTTCCCCTCTGCTGAGACTTCCCAGGGCTGATGAAACTGCTCTACCTGTAGTTGAACTGCTCACTCCTTTCCAGACCTTCCTGGGGTGACTCCCTTTGGTTCTATCTGAGGACAGAATGTGGATTAACAGCCATGGAAGAAAATCTGGCTTTCAAGCTACCGGGGATGAAATAGCACCAGAGTCTTCAGAAGCACAACAGCTCCCCCCACCGCCCCCCCCCCCCCGCCCCACACATGCCCTAGCCTAGCCACTGCGGCCTTCTTTCCTCCAGCGCAGGGAGGGACTGGTTATTTTGCTCAGCCAAGACAACGCTTGCTCTTGTGCTCTGGACCCATGTATCCTCAGGGTTCTGTCACTGTCACTGAGTCACCTAACTGCTTCCCTCAGCCCGCCCATATGGCCAAATGCTTCCCATCCTAAGATTCCCATCCTGAAAGGGGAGCAATAAGCATGGGGTGTTGTGCAGCATCAGACCAAAGAATTCCGACACAGATGGAAAGCCATGAACTTCCATTTGGCTTCTTCTGCAGCCTGTGCTCTTAACCACATTGCAGAGGTTAAAAAAAAAAAAATGCAAAGGGCCCTTTCTGGTGGCATAGCAGGTTAAAGTACAGCACTGGAAGCTAAGGCCGCTTCAGCATGAATTCGATCCCTGCCCCAGAGGTGACCCACATGCCGCGGCAGACCTCTCCTGACTGGCCCGCTGCTCCCCTCAGCAGTGTACTTCGTCAGTCGGCCTGTTCTGCACCTCACTCTGTCTCTGGTGAAGCCTCTCACTGCCCCTGCACCTCTGGCCTGTTCCCCAGCTCTGTATGCATGGATAAATAAATCTTTTAAAAAAATGCAAAATTAAACCATATTCTACCAGTCATGGTTTTCCTTCCTGTCGGGAAGATAAGTGCCCAGCAGTTATTACGATTTTTCTCCTAAAGACCATTTTCTTTCTTATTTTGAAGCCACCTCTAATTGACTGAAAATAACTGCTTTAGATACAGCTCCCCACAGCTAAACAATGAAGGTCCACTGACAGAAACTAGCTTCGTTTTTCAGATTCATCAGCTCTAATTTCTTTAAATTTAAAGGTTGTGCTTCTTGACCCAGCTGGGGGAAAATATAAAGTGCTAAGAGATTTATTTAAAAAAAAAAATACTTAATCATGGTAATCACAATGGAAAGAAAACAGTTTGGATGTATGCCTTCAGCAGTTATGAAGAAGAGGCCACATCTTCGTAAGTGACATGGTTACATCAAGCTTGAGTACCTGCTCATAAGCTGAACTTTACAAATCAGGTCCCAACAACCGCCGTTACTTCCCTGACTTGAAATGAGCCAAGCAAACTTCACTCAGACATGTTCATTTTAAAATGTTTTTTATATCTCTACCAGAAGAGGAGAGATTCAAAAGTGTGGAAGGTAAAGGAAAGAAAGCCATGGAAACAACCTCCCTGCCCATTTCCTGTGCTCAGTGGCCACGTTTCTCCAGCAACACCTGCCTTTACACCCAGGGAGGGAAGCTAGGCGAGTCCAAGTCTCTGTCCCGTAGCATATTAAATGGGCTCTTGGGGAGACTGCACCCAATTTGCTTCTCCCGTCAGCTGCACACAGCGCAATAACACTGATTACACAGGTAACAGAGACGGAGGAAGGTAGAAGCCAGCCCCGTCTGTGGTATATGAAACAAGGGTTCTCAGGGGAAAAGAAACAGCTGCCTCTGTCACTGTGGAGACAAGGCACCCCCGCAGCAACACTGTCTCTGCTTCTAGGGACATCAGAGGTGACTGCATCTGCTGCCTTCAAATGTGAACAGATCCTGGCTCTTTACGGACAGGACTCTTAGGAGGCCAGACAGCCACCCCCACAGGCATCTGTGTTTTTAAAACTGAATCATTTCAATTTTCCATCACACTGACAATTCTTTCTTAAAAATAATAGAAAGGATGCGGTGTGGCCGATAAAAGCACATGCCTCATGTGGTTTCATTTTAGTAAGTTTGGACATCCATAAGCAGCTGTAAAGTTAACACCACCGTGAGGTAAGAGACAAACCCATCACCTCCGCTTCTTTGTGTATGATAAGAACACCTACCCTGAGATCCACCCTCTTAGCAAATGCTTACATGCACAACACAGCATTGTGAGTTACAGGCACCTGTGTGGCCCATTTCCAGGATGAAAACATCCAGAATAACTGAAACATTACCCTTGACATCAAGTCGCCAATGGTCATTCCCCTCCATATACATGAAATCACACAGTGTTTCTCCTCCTGTGACTCATTTCACTTAGCGCGACTTCCTCCAGACTCATCTGTTATGGCACAATGACGGAACTGCCTTCTTTTTCTAAGGTTGAATAATGTTTCACAGTTCATACACACCATATCTTTTTTATCCACCTACTCATCTGTTGATGGACACTTGCATAGTTTCTGTCTTGGTTACTGTACACAAGTGGCCACATGAATGTGGAAGGGCAGATAAATCTTTTTTTTTTTTAAATTCTGGAGATAAACCCAGTGGGACTGCAGGGTCACCTAGTGATTCTAGTAATAATTTTTTGAGGAGCCTCTGTCCTGTTTTCCAGGAGGCTGCACCATTGTGCATGTAAGCATTCCCACCAAAGTGTACAAATGGTCTAGTTTCTTCCCATCCTGGCTTATGCTTGTTACTTTTTGGTGTGTTTTTAATAATAGCCATCCGAACAGGTATCAGGTGACATGTCACCGTGAGTTTGATTTGTATTTTCTTAATGTTTCATGACATAATTGTTGGCCATTTTATGCCTTCTTTAGAAAATATCTGTACAAGTTCTTTTCCCAATGTGGGAGTTAGTTTTTTCTGCTATTGAGTTGCAGGAGTTTCTCGCACATTTTAACCCCAAATGAGTAATTTGCAAATATTTTAGATTCTCATAGTGGAATCTGTCCTTCTGTGACTGGCTTATTTAAAGTGGCATGTTTTACAGGCATTTTTATTCTAACATCCTTTTTATTATTTTTAAAGTGATTGATTTTATTTTGTTTATACGTATAAGAACTGGGGTGTAGGCTAGAGCTGCAGAGAAGTAAGCAGGTTCACCAGAGACAGAATGGGGAGCAAAGCAGGCAGATCTACTGAAACACACTGCTGAGGGGAGCAGTGTGTGAGACAGGAGAGGTCTGCTGTGCCATTTGGGTCACCTCTTGGCTGGGGCTGAAACTTGTGTCACAGTGGCTGGAAATAGCTTGATAGCGCTGAGGCTTAACCACTGCGCCTCAAGGGAGGCACTGATATCGTTATAATGATGGTGGTGAAAGGCATCAACCCTTGACCCTGTCATTTGAACTGAAGGGCATATGATCTTGAGTAAACCTTAGAGAAATCAGGTTGCCCAACATGGTTGAATAAGTAATATGTATTTTTACCAATGTTCATTTTTTGCTTATGAGTTAAGACTCTTTCCCTTGTAAATTCTAAGAACTGAGAACTGTAAATTCTGAGAACTAAGAACTGAAACAGCAACTCACGCCATGACCTAACCTACCCAGAATGCCTGCCATCATTTCTGTCTACAGTCCGTTGGCAAAGGGAAAGGCTGAAAGAATGCCTGGCTCTGAGATGAAACTCCTTCCCAGTCAAAGAGACTTTAAGTGGGAAGATAGGGTAGAACTATGCTGAGCTAACAATAACAGGTAAAGTGCTTTAAACAAATGGACAGTAGCAAAAACGCTTTTCTCACCATAACTCTGAGGGCAAAGAGATAGGGTCTGACATTCTAGAGAGAGATCAGATCTCAGAAAGAAGTGATTTGGAGGTGTTCAGTATATCACTGAGATGACAAAAATGGCCTTGAAAGAGGCCTTCAGGAGAGGCGTGAGAGAGGCAATTAACTTAGGGTAGGTGAGGATGGTCACCAAGTAAGGCTAAGCACTCAAGTGGATCAAAGACAATGACGTTGTAAGGACACAAATTCACATGCTGACTTTTTATTTGTGCAGCACAGTATAGGCCAAAAGGGTTGTGTTTGGGTTGATACAGAAGCAGATGTTGGGGGGAGGTAGAAGGCTAAGAAGAGAAGTCTAGGAGACAACGGATGTGATACACAGGACCTCAGGCTTCCTTGGGAAGGAAGTCATAGTTTAAATTTACATTGTGGATAAGTAAGCTTAGTTCATTAGACATTTTAAAAAATTGGGGGAAGGAAAACAGAGTTACCTTCTAGAACAAACTTAGCTTATTCTAATCACGGCTTGACAATTCCTTGGCAATTAGAATTCTTACATCTAATATAAAATCTAATATACAAAATGTTGGCAAATGTCATAATTTCAAAATAGATGGCTAAAATATGAAATATAAGCAAATATTTTCATAGAGCAAAGATGAATTAAACATTGTACACTACTTTTCTGATGGTGTATCTTTTCATTTCAATACAAATTCAATTCCCTTTGAAACAATTGCAGTAAATAAGAAGACTAATAAAGCTGACAATATGTATAACCTAGAAGATAAACTGTATTTACACTACTACGGTGAATTTGATTTGACATAATTCTCCAGGTTAAAAACTTAGTTCAGTGTGGTGGAGACAGTGGGTAGTTACAGTTTCTAAAAGGTCCTACATGATTTCCAGAAAGAGGGATGCAAGCTGAGGGAACCTGGCTTATTGTATTAAGTTGATTGAATTGGTTTCAAGAGAGGTACCCAATGTCCGTTATATTTTATTCAAAATACCTGTGTTCTAAAGCCTGCTCAAGATGCAAAGGTATTTAAAGCTGATTTTTAACATCCCACTCATTTGTCTGTGACTGCAGTTCTCAGCTCAAGGTGCATGTGGCAAAAACCCAGAGAACTCAAAAAACAGTGTCCAGAGAGCAAGTCCCAGAGATTCTGAATTAGTAGGTTGGAAAGAGAGTCTAGATAGCAGCAGTTTCTAAAAGCTCTCCAAGTGAGTCTAGTAAGCTTGAGAACCACTGCTTTAGACAACGGTGGAGTTGTTTTGGGACCTGAGTTAGCTAAATAAATCTTGTTCCCTCTCTGGGGAAAAGATCTAACGAAAAATATGTTAGTTATGTTTGGCTCTTCATATACATGGTAGCTAGTGAGTCTGAAAGAGAATTTTTCCTAAGCTTTCAAACTTAGCTTCTGTTTATGGCCTCCTGTTAGCTCACTCATTCCTGAGGGGATAGCTTTGTTCCTGTGCTTTGCTTCAGATGGGCATAAATCAATGGGCAACTTCAAGTTGAACAAGTTCACCTGGGTGCTGAACATTTGCAAGCAGGAACGTTTCACAGGGGTAATTTAGTCCAGCAGAAGAGAAACTATGCTAAATATTTGCGAAGCAAATGTAATTTATTAAGAGTATCTATGTGCCGGGGGCTCTATTAAGGGCTTGGAATAGATGACCCTTGTTTAATCTTTCTGACAGCTGCAATTATGAAGGTAAATTTATATCCTAATTTTGGAAAAGGAAATATAGAGTTAGAGTTGTACAGGACCCTATGACTAGCAAGTAACAGTACTGAGTTCATACTTTAGTGCTGGAGCACTAAACTGTTATGTTTTGCTAACAGTTAAATAAGACTTTCGATAGTCTTTCTTTTGATTAAAAATTGAGATTTATGCTTGGGTGTTGGATCATAAAACTTGTTTACCCGTCCTTGCAAAATTGACTGCAAACAATGGGAGGGATTGCTGGTATAGCTGTACACATGTAAGTATTTACTAATCAGGTCTCAGTAACTTATAGGGCAGAGTTGATTAATGGAGTCAGTGCAGAAAAATTAAGTAGGAATCAGAGAGTGCATCCATAACTATTTAAGATCTCCTAAGATCGTGCTGGTAACAACTGGAGTATAAAATGTAAAACTGCCTCACGAAAAAACACTCTACAAACTATTATTAATTTTAGACTTCAAACTCAACCTATTGGGAAGTAACCCAAGTCTATTTTTAAAATCTTGAAATGATCTGGGTTGCCTTTTCTTAGGAATTCCTCCTTTATTTGTTTGACCCACTCCGTGCCTGAAATACTATCACAAAGCACATCAGCACAAGAAATGGAGATGAGAGCAAGAGAACTATTCAGTTCAACACTGTGGCTTTGATGAACATCGTGGACCAGATATAAAAACAGACCACATACAAATACCATGATGGTCAAAGGTTAGCCCCTCGACTTGCTGAATGAACACAAATCACTTGAGAAAGTTGTAGATTAAGGAAACATACCCAATACCTTACATATGCCATTAATACAGACATTTCTGCTGTTGCCGCCTTCAAAGCAAGGGGTACCATCAATGACAGCATCCAGCATTTTCTCAGAAAACTGGCCATCTATGGGTCGGCAGTAGAGTTCACAAGGATGTGCTGGGGTGAAAGAGAGACAAATCCTTGCAAGTTAGCATTTCTATTTTGAGCCTTCCCCCAGGTGCACACCCCCCAAATGTTGCCAAATTTGCTGACCCTGTCTTCTGTTTCTGTGACGCATGCTGAAATGTAGGCTTTTTTTTTCTTTTCGTATTTAAAGAGTTTTACATGAATTAAATTGGGAAGATTGCTTTAACACCATGCCCTTTGTTATACATGAGACCTTTCAATCCAACATCGCACTGTACTTATGAAAATGGGCACTGAGGTCTACCTAGAAAATAAACAACAGAGCCCTCCCTGATGGCGCAATGAGTTAAAGCACAGCACTGTGAAGTTAGCAGCTGCTTCAGTAGGAGTTCAATCCCCAGCCAGGGAGGTGATCCACATGGCACAGCAGACCTCTCCTGTCTCGCCCTCTACTCCCCTCAGCAGTGTACTTTGTCACTCTGCCTGTTCTGCTCGCAACTCTATATCTAATCCCCTGCATCTCTGGCCTGTCCCCCAGCTCTGTATACATAAATGAATAAATTTAAAAAAGAAAATGAGCAACAGCAGCTAGTGATGCAGACTCCAGACAAGCTTCCCACCTGCCTGCTCTTTGCAGCAAAATGAGCAGACCTCCAGGAGATAGAGAGGCCCTCCCCGAACCTGGATACCCACCCCCAACAGATATACTCACTTCTAGTATTCTCTGCAAGTCCAAACAGTCCATGGATGCAGATTTACAACCACAGAGAAACAAAGTACTTACCTTTTTAGCCAAAGCTGCTTATCATATTAGCCTGTCCCATCATGCTGGGCTCAACACTGAATTCTGTCAAGAGCTCAATTTTTTATTCCCTTGTGAGTGAAAGAATGATTGAATGAATGTGATCTCCAGGATAGGAAATGTCCTGAAGATTTTCTTACTAAAATACATTCCTATACATTTGTACATAGGGTAACAAGAAAGATAACTTTTAAGGCCTGTTGCCTTGAAATTTTAAATAGGCCATACATCTATATGACAAAAGTTCAAACAGTAATTTTATTTTGAATGTCTCGTGTTCTTGGTTTTAAAAAGAAAACTTTAGGCTGCCTTCTTCAGACAGGTCCTTTTGGGATCTCTTTTGGATCTGCTTATTGTGGGACTGGCTGTTAGTTTCTTGGTGGTTTGAGAAGCTGAGGGCTCAATGAGACCCAGCCACGTGGTCACTTGTCAGGGAGATGGACACCAGGCGCAAAGCCAGCATGCACTACTATAGGTCTTCAGACAAAAACTTAGGAGTGGGAAGAGCACGAGGGAATATGGTGATGGTGTGCGGGTGAATGGGAGGTGGGCATTTCACAGGGAAATCATACATCGTATAAAAATGAAGGCTGATGTGATGAATATATTAAAAAAATAAAAAACAAAAAGGAGAAAGGTAAAAGTGAATAAAGAATATCAAATGATCTTGTGTAAGGTGAACTGGAGAAAGAATTGCACAGGGTACCAAGGAAAAGGTCCAAAATTCTCCAGAACAAGGCATGACTTGTGGTTCCTTTTTTTTTTTTTTATAAAAGATTTATTTATTTATGCATACAGAACTGGGGTACAAGCCAGAGGTGCAGGGGCGCTGGGAAGCTTCACTAGAGACAGAGTGGGGAGCAGAACAGGCAGACTGACGAAGTACACTGCTGAGGGGAGCAGCGGGCGGGTCGGGAGAAGTCTGCCGTGCCATGTGGGTCAGCTCCGGGGCCAGGAGTCGAACTCGTATGAAGCGGCTGTGGCCAGCTTGGGTGCTGTGTCCCAACCTTTTGTGCCACCAGGGAGGGCCCAACTTGAGATTCTTATAAATGTTGGTAGCAGCAATCAGCTCTGCCACTGCCTGAGCTGGAGCCAGCTGGGAGCAACCTGCCCTCCTAATGATGCAAACACCCATCTAGGTGTGCTGAGTCCAGGAAATCATTTCATGAAACACGGAGCTGTCAGCCAGAAGGAAGGAGTGGGCGGGGGGAGTAACACTTTAAATATGACTTTGATTTGTGCTTTTGAATTTGGTTTTGGGCTTTTGGTATTTGAACACAAAAAAGAAAAGCAGACCTAGGATATTCCTGGAACTTTTATAAAGAAATGATCTGTTTGAATGTTCTGAGAGAGCTGTGATGAGAGGAAACTGGGATGCAAAATTCAGGAAGGCACTCACTTTTAGGGTTTTATAAATGGGTCCCCCTTCCAACGGCAAAACATGGCATTGAATACCAGAATGATGAAGCTCCAATTTGTCTTAATTCTGCTCCACCTGGGCTTGTGTCTTTGACTGACTCTCTGAAGGATAAAACTGTACAGAAATGCTTGCCATCTTGTGTGTGGAGAGTCAAAGGAATTTTGCTTGTTAAAATAGCAGTCAATATTTTACTCAAATATCATTTCCCAGCCCTTGTGCTTTTCAGTGGCTATCTTACCTGATTTTAGCAGTTATGACAGCCCTATGAAATGGTTTCCTTTATTATTCCCATTTCACAGATGAGAAAATTAAGTTCCCCAAGACCTCATGGTAGGAGTGGCAGAGCTAAGCCTGGCCGTTTTGCTTCAGAGCCTGCTCATGATGAAACCCTAACCGGCATACACAAAACTTTCTTTAATGAAAAAGAAATGTCTTTGATGAGATCTTTAAAGAAACCACTCTTTATGTTTCCAGTAGATGCATTTATTCATGGATCTTATCTGAAGCTCTAACTTGGAAAAATACCAACTAGATTCTGTTTTTGTGTTCTCTCGTGGAGCTTAAATATGGTGAGAGTCAACAGCCTCTGCCATCACTTAATGCTCAGGGACCCACGAAGCGCTGCAGGGTGGGGGAAACCTGCGTGCCAGTGGTGACCTGCCATTAGCAGGTGCGTGGGAGAAGTAAGCTAGACACTGTGGAACACGGGGAATTCACTTTATTGCCCTCTGTTATGTGTGTGCTTGCATTTCTTACGACACACATCTATCCTTTTTGAGATTGTTTTGGCCCTCAAAGAAGAAAGTTTGGAAAGGTCCTTCCCTGTGATCATGTGTCACATCTCCACGATGAGTGGGCTGTGATTTTGACTGCTCATCTTGCCTGTGCAATATAGGACTCGTATTCCCCTCAAGGCCGGACAAGGTAGCTTAAGGGCGCCATGTGTAAGAGACACAAATCTCGACTGCATGTAATCACAGTGAGCACTGGAGTGTTAAGAGCTTCTAGTGAATGACCTGTGTGGCAACAAGAACAGTTTAAGATGCTCTGCCAGAGTGTCCACACCTACCGCCGCAGGTGTAACAGACACCAAAACGAGCCCAGTGCTTGATCATCGTTAGTGATAACTAAGCAATTTCCAAGGCTGAACCTGACATTGTTTCTCTCTGGCCTACTCCAGTCTCTGTCTTTGCAGGTGCCCTGGGAATGCCAATAGGTGGCCTCAGGCTCTGCAGAAGGAGGCAGGGTGGTGACAGATGGCCTGAGTTCCCAGTGACATCAGGCATGTGGGAAGCTCTGGTGCTGTCTCAACTTGGAGATTCAATAATCTCCCTAGAGTTGAGAATTTCCATGGTCTGATTGTTATTCATCTGCTCTGACACAATCTTTTGTCTGAGCTATGTGACTTTTTCCCTCTTGCTTTCAAGTCTATTTATAACTTAGCTAAGTAAAAACTCTAAAACTAATTTACTAATGAACTCTCACCCACACACTATGTGATTAATCCTCTCAAAGGTAGTTTAGGTGACTGAGTGAACTTACCTATTCAAGGGATACATTTTAATTCTGCTGAAACAGGATGGTACATTTTTAGATAATGATGTTAACAAGCATTAAAAACCGAAACCAAAGATCATGCTTAGTGAAATAAGCCAGAAAGAAAAGGAAAAATACCGGATGGTTTCTCTCAGCAGGAATATAACGGAACAGGTGAGAAAATAATGATAATGATGAACAGCTATATACCAGAGGCATTTTGTGGAGCTGGAGTGGGGAATGGGATCAAAAACAGCGGGGGGAGGGAAATGCACTGGACTTTGATGATGGCACTTGGGTGATTTGGTGATGGGAAACCCAAGGGGATTGCAACTGAGATGGAAAAATGCACAAAAATATGTAAAAAATAAACTATTATTAAAAAAAAAAACTTGTTAAGAAGGCTGAATTTTTTTTAGGCCAAGGGAAAGTACTGATACAATTCCCACTTTTTGAATAGTTTGCAATTTGAATTTCACCATTAAAAAAAAATCCAGTTTCTCTGAGGAGGAGTGAGCATAGGCCTCTGAATCACACAGTGCTGTAAAACAATGTTCCTCAAAAAAAAGGTAAATAAATATTTTAAAAATCCACTTTCTAAAATCCATTTGCTGGCAAGGTTCTGTGGGTATGAGTGTATGCAATCATGCAGGGCCTCACACTTGGTAAAGTGCTCTGTTGCGAGTGTACTAAACACTCATAGCTTTAAGCCTCTTGTGTTTAGTCAGTGAAGTCCAGTGGGACACTGAAGCACATGCACCAGCAGGAGAGACCTAGGATGCGCAGGGCTGCTGTTCCTGGTCAGATTTCCAGAAATACTAACCCATAAGCAAAGGGCACAACTTAAAATGTTCTTATATTGTAACAACTCATATTTAACTTAAGAAAAGGCACTTAGTTAAATGACAAGGCTCAGGTCAGCTGCAGGGAAAAAGAAAACAAAGGCAACCCAAACAAAACTCAAAGGGAAAGTGGGGAGCACCAGGACTGTGAGCTTATGCGCAGGTGGTCCAAAAGAGTACTTTTACTTTCAGACACGGTAATACTATTCTAATTCCCAAGTATATCAAAATGTCTATTAGTTAACATATAAGCAAGCTTAAAAAAAACTTGTATATTCGGGCCCTCTCTGGCGGCGCAGTGGGTTAAAGCACAGCACTAAGAAGCCAAAGCCACTTAGGCATGAGTTCAATCCCCACCTGCCCGCGAAGTGATCCCACATGGCGCGACAGACCTCTCCTGACCCGCCCGCTGCTCCCCTCAGCAGTGTACTTCTTTGGTCTGCCTGTTTTGCTCCCCGCTCTGTCTCTGGTGAATCCTCTCACTGTCCCAGCATCTCTGGCTTGTATCCCAGTTCTGTATGCATAAGTAAATAAATCTTTAAAAAAATAAAAATGAATCAAGCCCATGGATGTTCTAGCTTTGTCTTTTGGTCAAGATGTTTAAGAATGGTGACACTATATTTGGAATTGTAACTTACATTGTTTAAAAAATACAGTTAACTTTGCTACAATGCTTAAATGTTTAGAAAAACATGGCTCTAAAGGCAAAGACAAATGCATTTGATAAACGGGACATTTCTCATGATATGAGTTGTCCTTCCCCAGAGTTCTTCAGCCACGAATAGTGTTTTATAAAAATAGGATTCCTTTACACAAATTTGAACTTAGTGCATAGTTGTAAGGCAATGGACTGACCCCAGCCTCTGACTGGCTATCATTTAGCTGCAAGTCAGGCCTGGGCTAAGTCCACTCTCATGCCAGCTTGGGCAAGTTTCTTAAGTTCTCATAATCTATTAGCTAAACTACAATAATTGGGTCAAAAAGTTAAATTTCCTCATAGGACTTTCTCGTGGAAATAAACAGGGGATATGTGTATAAAGTGCTGAGAGAAGTACCTGGCACCAAGCAAATATTAATCTGTTTAACACAAGCTGTCATCATTATCAGACAGGAATGGAATTTCTTGCCAGTACCAGAAAGTGTCACTTCTTTGCCGAAAACAAGAGTTTATTTTTTCCATACCACAAGAAATCCACACATAGGCAGTCAAAACCACCCTCCTATTTTCGGGCTCAGCCATCTTAGCACAGGCTGATTTCAGCTCCCAGGTGCCTCTGCCTGTGACCCCCCGGCAGCAAGAAGCGGAAGAGGGAACGGCAGGGCCATCTTTCTGGAAGGCTGCCCATTCCAGATCGCTAGCACCATGGACCAAATAGTTTCAACAAAATAGAAACTAGCCAGAGTATAGTCTAGGGAGTGCCAACTGGCTGTCCCTTTCATGATTCGTGTCTTTGGGAGTCCACATGAATATATGCATGTTTTCCTGTATTCTGCAGGTTCCAGAACTAATTGCAGCTATAGCCAAATCACTGACTCCCCTAGAGCATGAATAATGCTAAACCAGTGGGGGCAAGAGCAGAGATTGCTGGTTACTGTGACAACCAGTAGCTGTCTGGGTACTTTGGAGACCCAAAGTGGGTAAAGCACTACAGCCTTTCAAGAGCAACCAACCGCAAAACATACTTTTCATCCTTTGGCTGACATCTATGATTCCTCTTAAAATCACACACACACACACACACACACACACACACACAAATTGTTTTAAACCTGGTCTCAAATCTCCTTAGCTCAGGAAAATCTTTTCTATTTCATCCTGCACTTGCATAACAACAAATAGCATGGATCTATTTTGATGTTACTCCATAGCTAGCGGTTAATGGCTAACGTGTAAAGGGTCCTTTTTCAGGGTGCTGCCCAGGCTGCAGTTATTCCCCCAGGTGCAAATTTATGGTGATAGTCTTATTTTTTACCTTTCCTTCGCTGTCCGATTCACTAGCAGTGCTGATCTCTGGCCCAGACTGGCGCTTTCGTTTCTGAGGAAGCCCTTTCTCCTCTCTCACCTTGTGCCTTTCTCCTCCCCCTAAGAATGACAGACTATTATGCATGTCTTCCCTTTTTCTTCTTCTAGTAGAAAAACTACTCATACTTCAGAATCATCAATGCTTCCCTGAAATTGTTCTTTGAAATGACTCCAAAACCACAATGGTCTCTTCTGAATTCCTACCAAAATTACAGTCCATTACACACGCTCTTCAACAAACACTTTCATCAGAAGTTACTGAATTCCAACATGTAGCATGTGCCACTTAGCTGCACTTCAGCTGTCTGGCTTTGGTTTCTAATCATACTATTTTTAGTAAGGTATTGTTGGTGTACAGCACTCTGTATGATGGAGTGGTACAGGCTCCACCTCTTCGCAGGTAGGTTACCTCTCCACACCCACCACCAAGGCCCCGATAACCATCATCCAACGGCCAAACCCACACTGGAAGCCTCAACTCTGCAATCAGATCCTACGGTTTGTTTTGGTTTAATTTGTTTGGTTTAGTTTCGTCTGCTCCTTTGTTGGGTTTCTCTGTATTTCACAGATGAGTGAAATCATAGTGCATTTTTCCGTCTAACTTCTTCCACTTAGCATCCTCCCCTCCTGTTCCATCCATGTTATTGCAAATGGCCAGATTTCAGCTTTTTTTTTTTTTTAACACCCTCACCGTTTGGAGGGAGGCATCCTGTCTGATCAACTTCCCTTTGGCGGTCCCCAAGGCCAGCATAGACAAGGTTGTGCTCAACCTTTTACATTTACCCATCACTTCGATCAGATCAGTATTTAGCCTTCTAAAACCTGAAAGCCCAAGGCTGTGACTCTCTGGGTTGAAACTGGCCGGGCAGCAGAACCGGCACCAGACAGGCTCTCTGACATGGCTGCCAGCCCAACACACAGTGACCGCTCCTTACCTGGATTGAACACTGGGAACCAGCGGTAGAATTCATTCTTGTAGGGAACAGTGTCAAACTCACTGCACTGCATTTGCCGAAATGTCGGGGCGTCGGGCCGACAGGGGTGCACGCTGCACAGGCGGTAGCGCTTCCTCTCCCCCGTGCAGTATTTCCCTCCAAACTTTGGTCTGGAATGGAATAGACAAGCTATGCTCATGGCTTCCTGAAAGACCAACGTTTTCCTGAAAATGTCCCCTGATAGTTAGTCGCTACCACAGCAACGCCATGCTCTGAGGGGAGAGAATCCAGAAGGTGCCTCTAGAGCTGACTATCTTGTTAGGGAGAAAGAAATACAGGTGTCCCCCTTATTTGTTGTTCTGTTTGCCACAGTTTCAGTCAATGCTTTGTGAGCCAAAAGTATTATATAGATAAGATACTAAGAGAAAATATTGACAGAGGGCAAGATCACATAACTTAAAATGGCACAGTAGGTCGTTATGATTGTTCTATTTCATTACTAGCTATTGTTAATTGCTTCCTGCCTAAAACTTAAATTTAATAAATTAGTGTTATTAAAAGAAATTGTTTAGGGGCCCTCCCTGGTGGTGCAGTGGGTTAAAGCACCGCACTAAGAAGCTTAAGCCACTTCAGCATGAGTTCGATTCCCGCCTGCCCCGGAGGTGACCACATGGTGCGGCAGACCCCTCCTGACCCGCCCGCTGCTCCCCTCAGCAGTGTACTTCGTCGATCTGCCTGTTCTGCTCGCCACTCTGTCTCTGGTGAATCCTCTCACCCTCCACATCTCTGGCCTGTACCCCAGTTCTGTATGAATAAATAAATCTTTAAAAAAATTGTTTATAAGGCTAAAATTAAATTATACTAAAATTCAATTGTAAAGCTGAACTGTATAATTGGCATGTATGTATAAGGAAAAATCATAGTGCATATAAGGTTGGGGACCCACAGTTTCAGGCATCCACTGGGGGTCTTGTAATATACCCCCTTGACTAGGAGGGATAAATGGAAGAAAATTTAAGAGAGCAACTACATATTCCTGAACTAAAAGACAGTGAAAGTTGGAAGAAGGCTGGCCAAGTAGGATATGTGGAAGGTGGTCCTGGAGAATAGTCTTAAAGGACGAATGGGAAGTGGCTTTTCAGCTCGGTGTGAAGGCAGAGGTAATGCCAAGTGAGCAGGAGGCAGAAATCAGAGGATAAAGGCACAGAAAACCAGGGCATCTCCCCCAGTGGCCAGCAGTAGGCGATGTCAAGAGTGGACGCCTTCTCCAGAGCCCTTACCCACTGTGCTTAGCTGCCTGAGCTGAAGCCTGAAGGGACAGAAACCTCATGTCTTGACGTGCAGGGCAGTTTCAGCTGTATTTGTGTTCTTCTGCATTTTGTTCTAGGTGACCGCCCATGAGATTTTCTATACTTCCCTCTCCACCTCTATTAATGTGATGTAGGTAAGTCTGCAGCGATAAAGGAACTGCCCAAGATCACAACTGCTGACTGTGGGGAGTCCTAGGACATGGCCTTGACAGCCAAGGTTTGGCTGGTTTTCTATTCATGCTAATGATTTGGTATCACTTGCATTCATTTCCATCCAAAAAACATCACTAAGAGTCCTTTCTGTGCTGAGTTCTGCTGGGTTCTCACTAACAACTGATACAGTCTGAAGGTCATGCAAGCTGGTCATGCACTGACTGACCTGAATCTGTGACCTTAAACACAGAGCTGAATCTTGGGCAGGCTCCATTATCCTTTTACTCCACAAACTTATGCAAATAACAACTGAGATCAGAAAAGGTCACTCACCTCGACAGGAACTCTACGAAAAACTGTGGCCTCTGAGATGGAGGTTAAAACCATTTTCCCCCTGAAGCCAACTTAGAGAATCATCCTCGAGTTTCTCAACAAAATGTGCTGTGGACAATTAAGGTCATACACCATTTTCTCCAGAAAGCTGTAGACAGTCGGTGGCTGATACACAGCACTGAACACAAGCCCCTGAGCAAATCACCTGTGTTTCCTAATCTCTCAATTTGACAAATATTTGCTAATTGCCTGGAAACAGACTATAAATGAAGATGTTCTTTAAAATCTTCTTTAAGAAATTCCACATTTTGAATTTTTGAATTTTTGAAGATTTAAAAAAAAATCTATCGGGCCCTCCCTGGTGGCACAGTGAATTAAAGCACAACACTATGAAGCTAAAGCCCCTTCGGCATAAGTTTGATTCCTGGCCAGGGAGGTGACCCACATGGTGCAGCAGACCTCTACTGACCCACCCACTGCTCCCCTCAGCAGTATACTTCGTCAGTCGGCCTGTTCTGCTTCCCACTCTGTCTCTGGTGAATACTCTCACTGCCCCTGCACCCCTGGCCTGTACCCCATTCTGTATGCATAAATAAGTAAATCTTAAAAGAAAAAACTTATCAAAAAAGTTTTAAACGTCGGCCAAATTCCCTAAACCTACACACGTATGTGGCAATGATAAAGTACTACAGTGTCATAGTAACTATTGTAACTACCTTTATAATTTTATGCAGTAGGTATTGTATTAAATGTTTTATAGACATTCATTATCTAGCTCTTAGGAAAAATTTATTATATACAAAGACTATATATTTGTATATCTATAAAGGCTCAAACACACATTTAATCATATATTTATTAATAGAAAGAAGGTAAGATTTGGAATTAAGATACCAAGGGAATTATAACCACACCTGTCACTTAGCTATTAAAATGTGACTTACTTTGTAATGAAAACTAATATAAACATAGGCAAAAACTGAATACATTAGCATAATAAAAAATTAATACAATACCTTTCTACCTGCAGAAGGTATCCTATGTACATTTTAAAATATATATACTTAGGAACTAGTATACCAGGAAATAATGAATTTAAGAAAGTAATATTTATTTGGAAACAGGGAACTTAAGTTGAATTCATATGTACTATCATTATTATAAAAGTTTTGAAAAAATTGAGTCACTTGTGAAATAACTTCAACAGAATTCTTAATCAGCTAATATGAAACTTAAGATTTACAAAATCCTTATCTGAACCATTAAAAGTTACTGCAGGCCCTCCCTGGTGGCGCAGCGGGTTAAAGCACAGCACTGAGAAGCTAAGGCCACTTCCGCATGAGCTTGATTCCTGCCTGCCCTGGAGGAGACCACATGGCGTGGCAGACCTCTCCTGACCCGCCCGCTGCTCCCCTCAGCAGTGTACTTCGT